CAGATAGCTACCGCCAGCAGCAAATCAGTCCAGTGAGCTTCTTTCTCTCTCCGACGTCATGAAAAATGGTTGTGCACAGCCATCACCACACTACTACTTGATCCACCTTCACTGGCACCACCGTAAAACAACGAAAGGCGATCACTCCGCTGCTCCTTCAGTCGGTCCGTCGGTCGTTCAGTTAGTCAGTCAGTCAGTCAGTCCGTCGGTCTGTCAGTCTCCGATGCTACGATTTTCGGTCGGTCGCTCCGATATTCCTCGGTTGTCTTGATGGTCGTCTCATATAATTATTGTCATTAATCGTTCTTGGCGGTTCTTCGCCTCACGTCGGTCGGGGGCTACCGGCGTCATTGTTCGCTAGCTGGGCCGCTAGGAGCGAGACACCATCCAAGAGACACCACCTAAACGCTCACTTCACTTATCCGCAACGACACGACCATGCCGCCGCCACCACCACCACCGCCGCCGCGCCGCCGACATCAACAGCAGCAGCAGCAACAAGGGCTACCGATCGACCGAAAAATGGGGCTACCGAACATAGCGCATTGCCTAAGTCCATTGTCTTCGGGCCTCCTAACCACCTTCACCATTGCCTTCGGTGATTCAGAGCTGCAGTGTGAGGCAGCCAGAAAGCTATCAGCTTAGCAGCATTAGTCGAATGTACATCGGGTAAGGGAGAGATTTTTACAATTGATGAACATCGAGTTAGAATTCAGCCTCGCTGCTGTCGGGACGACTCGTTTTGTTCCGGCAGAATTAAACGGCGACTGAGAGCTATCCCCTTTTCCGCTAAGAGAATAAACTTCGTGAGCTACCCAACAATCTAGAATGCGAAAAAAGCGAGAGGAACAAATGAGAAATAGACCGGACGAAGACAGAAAAAAGGATACGGACAGAAGAAAAGAATTAGACAGCCGAGGGAGACACGGGACGGCTTCTGCGGCGTTTATGCCTGAGTCACGATGACCACTCATCTTGGGACATGCATGACTGGAGATAGGTCGGCGAGTCTCGTCTCGCTCTCGATTCTGCTCAGAGAAGATAATTTACACGATCGAGTGCCTTCATCCGAGATACATGGATTGAAGTCTGACTGTCAGTAGATGCTCGGCCTTGCTGAGAGCACACTTTCCGTTATGCGTACTCGGGAGATTTCTCTCTGTTTTCTGAAAATCTGCACTCAGGAGATTTATCAGGATTGCTTCCTGCAGATGAGGAACCCCGAGCCCGAAAATGATTATGCCAAATCTGGAATTTTCCCCCATTTTCTTATGTGGGACGGAAAATATAAATGAAGAATATATCTGCAGTAGAGCGCACAACCTCATTTTCGCTCTATCTTCGCTTCTGAAAGGAGGCAATAGCCTTCGCCGAGGGACTGAGATCCATGTTTCGCTTGTTGAGTCCGGAGCCCGCATCGCCGGCGAAAAGATCGAATCAGCTCTTAAGCAAATATCCGCGGGTTGGATTTTCTCCCTCTGGACAAGCTTCTCGATGTTGCTCTTCGTACTAATAGCTCTTCATTCCTCGTTTCGGAGATAATGCCAAGAAGATTTGTGTTATTGTTTGTGTAGCAAAGTGCAGATTACGAGTCGCCTTTATCGTCACCGTGTTCATGCTGTTCATCATTCATGGTCATCATCATGCCCGAGTCGTCATCGGGAATTTCTCATCGCCACGACGGGCCATCATGAGAATTGAGTAGCGATCGAAGAGTTCACGATTCACAAATTTAGTTATTAGCTTTCGATAGTTACGTCTGTTTGCTAAGGTTAGGGCTCTCAATCGTAGACGAGCAACGATTGCGGACGCTCCGAGCCTCGGCACATTATCACGAGTTCCCACAGCTGAGAGACGAGAACAATGCGAGGGACGCCGATTGCTTCACGTTCCATAGGAGACGACAAAGACAGTACGATGATCGGATCAGAATGTCCCGATAATCCTGAATCCCGTCTAGGATGCCCTGGCGTAGCGATACCCTAGGGAGCCGCGGTGGTGTGGAAATAATTCTTGAGCTGAAGCGAAAATGGAGTTGCACCCTGGACTGAAATCAGCCTGGATACATGGTCCTTCTTCGTTCATGATTTCAAACTCTTCATCAAACACGGAATGGCATTCACGGGAATACTGCGGAAATGAAATGAAGGGAGTTGGACTGGAAACACTCATCTTTGAAAGTCTTAGCGTACGCATCTACCCCTCCTCTTGCCCCAAATGGAGCATTCCATCGTTCGAGGAATCGCGGCTCTATCGCTGACTTGGGCAGCCGGTGGTCTACGAGCTGGGCGTATAGGGCGAACAGAATTGAATTTAATCATTATTAATAGTCGATGAGAAAGTTATGGGATAACGTAGGTGATGAAACCGCTCAACCAGTTCATCATCGCCTTCACGCGCACTTCCCTTCATAGCCGCGTTCAGCTCAATTATGTCTGGTTTTACTCAACGCTCTCTCGGACACAGATCGCCGGAATGATTTCGACAGCCAACCTTCAACTTCCTCAGGGGACGACGAATCTTTAGATGGAGAGAATCAGTTTTTATCGTACCAAGTTTCTCTCTCCAAAGTCATTCTGTGAGGATGCACGGAATGCAAGCGAGCTCTTGAGGCATCGTCTCGAAATGAGACGAGCCATCGGCGAGCAGAATCTAGCCGGGAACCATGAGGAGAGATTTGTCGCCGAGTAACGAGGTTTATGATCCCCACACTCAAACTGTAGGCCCGCGTGGCTCGAGCATTTTTCGAGCGGATTCCGTGGTGCTGAGTTCGGCCTCGCGAGAATAGTCTATCTGTCCACCCCTTAAGGTACAATACAGCTAATGAACGAGCGCGCTCGCGATCTTTTCCCCTGATCTTTTCAATGAGTTTGTGGAGGAAGCAGCTCGGCGATGCTGATTAAGTTTTAAAACCGCTCATAATTTCCTCTCATTCACGCCGAGCTTCTCTTTCTCTTGCCGTTCCTTCAGAAGATGATTGAGACGAGACTGGAGGCGAGACGGGGTGAAAAGAAAGCATACATCACCGAATTGTGATCCCGCTGCCTTCTTGTAGGTGAAGGCGACCGACAGAGGGCGATCGGGAAACCCATCGTCAGGTTGACAGACGAACAGACTGCACAACGATCGAAAGAACTTGGCAAGAGTTCATTGTGTTTGTGTAAAATAAATGAAACTCACGAGCGGAGAATGAGGTGTTTATCCATCGGTGATTTACGAGCCCTCCGAGCGCTAACTAGCTTTCGTGGTTTTCGCTCGCTCCCGCTGACGTCGTCGGTTTTTTTCTGTTTTTTTTTCGTCTCCTCTCTCTTTTTTTCTTACTGTGATTCTCGATCTGCGGTACCGTCATTCATTCTCTCGCTGCTGCTGCTGCGGCTGCTCCTCCGCTTACTTAGTCACTCTCAATTGCTTGCCCTCAAGACTCGACGAGCCGCTGTCAACCATTCGCGCCATGAATACTAAACGAATGACGCTTTGTTCCTGCCGTAAGCCCTACAGGAGTCGCAAGCCCTCTCGGTTAGAGTCGAACTACCGCCGACTATCGCACGGCGATTCTTCAAATTCGATCGTTGTTCTGTTGTATGTCAGTTAATTTCGCCGCTCTTCCGAGCGTCCGATCGCAGCTCACGTACCGAACCAGTCAGTCGGTCAGTCAGTTCGAAGTGTTATCCCGGACGTCTTGCCCCCGATTAGGAGAATTATTGTACGTCTGTGTTCAAGAGCTCACGTTTGAGTCCTAAGTTCGAGGAAAACTCACTCGTCTCGTAGCGCGATGCTCGCTTCACAAACACAAAAAGCGGGCGATTTTGTTTGGGAATATAAATTCTCCTCCTTCTTTCATCTTCTTGCTTAAAATCTAATGGCATAAATCAGGTCGCAGTAGGTAGTCGGGCATCGAAAGAATCTACCAATGAAGACTTTTCGCAAACCAGCCGGTCGGGTAGTCAGTCAGTCCTTTGTCTGTCATCCATGGTGTCTGAGGTGTCTAAGTTGAACGACCGTGAGCAGCATCGTAACAGAAGTAAAAAAAAGGCAGCAGGAGAAATCGAAACAGAAGACACAGAAGTGTCGTGCTATTTCGCCAGTGCACGACTCTGACTGACTGTAATTGACATTGTAGACTCGAATCATTGCGGTCTGAGGCACGACGATGACTCTAGCTACCGCAACATCATTTCATTGGCTCACAAACGCCTCTTGTTTGATAAATGGCGAGATTTATTAAGTCGCTTCTCCGACTGTCATTAATTCAACTACTATGCTTCCAGTTTTGATCGCTCTCTGGCGATCCGGCAGAAAGCCATCAATGATGGCTATCGATGACTCGCGATCGCGCTCACCGCTCTTCTTTCATTTTTTTGCCTACAAGCGAGTCGATTCTGTTTTTGGGGTTCCGCGATGGAGTGCAACGTTACAACGAACGAGCGGAGCCGATCAAGGGAAGGTTCTCACCGAACGGGAACCTCCCAAATCTTTCGCTCATTTTCCGGGTTGAAAAAACAGGGGTTGAAAAATTTCGATTCAGCATCTTCCTTAAATAGGAGCTTCTTCATTTTCGAGCAGTGGGTGTCCCTTCTCAGGGATGACTTTTTTCCGGTTCGGAAATCAGATCCCGCTTCCCGATCCTCGTGAGTCCCAGAGTCGTTCCTCGGACTTCGCAGCTCCACTTTGCCGATCTGCTGTAATTTTCAATCGGGACTCCGGTGGACCCCGACGTCCAGGCCCGGCGGCGAGCCTAGGCTCACGAATGTAGGTATGTCGAGTCGAGATTTCGCTTGAAATATGAGTATTTAAAAAAATGTTCGTCTTCGCTGCTTCCAAAATCGAACGTCTCGCCGATCTATTACGTAATTTGCAGCAACGTTGGCGGTCTCAATCGCGACTGTGATCAAGGGTGTATTCGGGGATGCTCGCCAAAACTAATCCATGCGGGAGAGCTTCCAAGCAATCTAGGGATTTTGAGTTTCCCGTGGGCTGATCCCTAGCTGGAAAGCCTGTCGTCTGCAGGTCATTCGACACACTGTTTGTCCACGATGGAGTCGAGGAGTCACAAACTGAGGGAACCATGCTGAATTTCCGTACTTCCGGTAGAAGAAAATAGCTCGGTGTTTTGAGTGCGACGAATCGAATATGTTCCTCGGAAGAGCTCTTATCTTCTCTTATTTGGCAAGATCAGTGATTTCCTACTCCGATGGCGAGCGCCTGGATCTCATCGATGATTGTTGCGAAGGACTCTGCGGGACTATCGATGCGCCAATTGTCATCAACTCAGAGGGCTTGGACAAGAAAACGGAGGAGTTGTCCTCCATGAGAGTCACGTTTGGGGAGCAGAATTTCGCGGGGGAGTCTGAGCGTCCTTACTGCTTCATCCACGCTTACTCGCTAGATTACGCCATGTTGAACTTGAGTTACTCCCTTGGACGATCTGAGAACTCCGAAGAACTAGTATATGTAAGTAAGAGATGCAAACTGTGCTCGGATGAGCAAGGAAGAAATTAGCGGGATTCGAACGATTGTTTTGCTTCTGCGAGGACGGGACGCGGGTTGAGCCTCCTTGGAAGGGCCCTGAAGTTCAAAATCCCCGACTTATTCGGAATCTCTTTCAAGATCATGGAATCGTTTCGTGTTCTCCCGAAGCAAACAGAAAGCAACTCCGAAACGGCCGATGGAGAAGAGCTGAGAACACTCGGAGAATCAAGAGGATACGAGGAGTGGGGTCCATCGGTTTACGCCGGAATCTCCTCTAATAAGCTTGGCACCCGACAAGTTCATCTCAACAAATTCCAAATGCAGAACTATCGGATTCCGCCGAACCGATTGCTCACAATAGCAATCAGGGTCGAGGCGTTGAGGGACAAAATTCTTCGAAGATTCGATGCATCGATCGTTGCCGACAAAGGCACTTCTGGGTGAGTTGACATCCGAATCGCTCCAGGTTCAGTTTTCCGGGAGACAGCTTTATCCAGCCCCAAAAAGCACTGAATGGAGATAGGTGAAGAAGTCAGGCAATCCGATTTTTTTTTGTGAAGAGATGTCTCGTGTAGTGAAACCCTGCAAGGGAAAATATCCAAAGAGCTCTGTCAGAAGAAGAGAGTGAACAATATTCCGAATTGCAGGAGAGTATTTTTCATCATACTCGGCGTGGTGGGAGCGTTTTTCATGATCGGTGTGCCTGGCTCGTTTCTCTGCTATAAACGCTACTTCAGGAAAAAGAAGGAACGCCGGACACAGCACCTTGGCCAGTCAATGCATTTCACCAGGAATGCGTAAGTTTCCAATTCTCGCCCATTTGCAGTCTCGTATGAAACGGGACTCAGACCTTGACCTATCGGCTAGATTGTCGGCCTGATTGAAGAAAGCCTATAAAATTAGTCTATCGAGAATATTTCAATCTGGAGAAATTCAATGAGTACAGGATGGGGGAGCCCTCCGCAAAAGCATCACAAGGATTGGTGCAATGAGTCTGTGATTTTGGATGCAGGGACGTGGTTCGGTACCGGACGAACAATGAGACTGCAGACAGAGGTGTACAACGGGATATCAAGCAGGAAAATCGCGCTGCAGCCTCCGCTTCGTCCGCCTTACCAGCTCAATTCAGGAGGCTCTCTTTGTCAGAGAGAATCTGGAAATCGAGTAAAACCAAGACTGATCCATACATTACCCCGATTCTACCGAAACATGAGCTATTGAAGAAACAAGAGCAACTCATGGGGTGAGTCACAGTCGCAGCGCTTGTCGAACCATGTGTGTCCCGATACTAGCAATTTGCCCCGAGAAGAGACCTTCGGTGGAGAATTCTTTTTCATAGAGTTTTCCTTCGCAGAGCGCGGAGGCCGATCATCGCGGTGAGTCCTGTCCAGCAGAAATCGGAATTCGCTTTCCCAGGAATTGATCCTGGACACGAAGGGGATAGTCCGCCACAAACTGTCGAGAGGGCTCTGCAAACCTCACGAAATAGAGTAATCAGTCACCGAGTGATAAGCGAAGAAGAAGTTTACGATGATACCGATACACCCAACACTTCAATGGCCGGAAGTTGGACGGAAACGCTTTTCTGACATGAGGAGACTAATGTGAATGAAAGAAGCTAATGAACTCCTAGAAGTCCACGATTCCGCCTCATAACTCTCCGAGTAAAGTGCCAATACGATGGAGTGAGATTCTCCCATGGATCGGTGAAGGCAATCTTCTTTGAATTTTTTGATACGTCATCTATTTTCCAAGAAATCTGACTTCGCGTATTTCCATTATTTGGATGGGGGAGAGTTAGTGGGATACGATTCTGCTCCTCCAAGCGACACCGGAACCGTTAGGGTCGTCGGAACTCCCTAACGCTAATCCAATGTGCATGGATATTTAGGGAACGATGAATCTCCTCGTCAAGAGAGACGGTCTCAGCGCCATTGATCTCGCCAAGGAGATCAGGCAGACATCGGAATCGTGCTTTCAATGTGGGCTGCTGACTCCTTCCACACATTCTCATGGGGTTGCCTATCTGGAAGAGTTCTGCATAGCTCTGGGAAGACCCGACCTGGGAATCGTACGATGGGGCATTCCTCTTCGAAGGAGACGGATGCGATCTACCTAGACTATTGCGGAAAATATCATATTTCTGTTCCAAAGCACAAAAGCAACCAATCCTCACGGGGCAACGAAGATCATAAATGATTTCCGGAATTCGAGAGTCGTCACTCAGCTCTCTGCTGAGTGAGAAGTATACAACGGAGAACGAAAAGTATGCCTTTGTCTCTGTCGCAGTGGAAGAATGTGCGATGTACCTGGCGCCCTCTGGTCGGCGTCGGGGGAAACTGAGCGGAAGGTGCAGCTGGCTGTGGCTGTGAAGTCGATAGATGGAGCTCCCGGGAGCTGAGAGCTGGGAATCGATTCTCTGGGAAGCGTGGCTGCCGCATGGCTCGCGTCCTACGTCATTTCCCGTTCCCCCGCCAAGCTCACGTATTCCTCTGGCCGAATCGGGCTCGAGCCGACGGACTGGCAAACAGACATCCTAATTTCGATGGCTTCCTCCAAATGTAAAAACCTGTCATCAAACAGTCTGAAGGACGGTGGACAGGAAAACTATCCGAATCAGGATAATTGAAGCACCTTCATATGATCTCTATTGGAAGTCAGGAGATGAGTGGAGCAGCGATCGGTTCACGGTTCCCGATGGATCCTGCGGAGCAGCATGTGTCGAACGGGGCGTCAGCTCGATTAGTCGTGGTCGAGAGTCCTTGAAGACTTGGTCGAATGAGGAAGAAAAATGAGTCGAGAAGTATCGAAGGGAAGTGGATGTCGTTGGTTAGCGGTCCCTCATCTCTTGTTCCGTACGCCGAAATCTTCCCCCAGTCCGCTATTTTATGGTGTTTCACCCCGAATTTGAACTTTCGTTTCAATTTTTCAAACAGAGTGAAACGGTGGCTTTGACTTTGAAGCTCTCTCGCTCTTTCCAACTTGATTCTGAATCGGTGCATCGACTCGGATTCACAGTAATTTTCAGTCCGTTGACGTCTATTCGCCTGTGTCTCAGCCCCGGTGCTCTGTCGTTCGGACGCACAAAGACGAAGCGATGACATATCCGCTATCCGGGAGCGGGTTACTCACACTGTATAACTGTGATACTTATCTTCACATCGGGGACTTATCTGGGATACCGGGGAACTGCTTTCTTCGATGTTCAATTCTCCGGATGATTTCGATAACCTCGCGTCTGAGTAATTTATATTGTGTGATAAGCGATAGGAGACCGTCAATCGGTGCCATCATCAAAAAACTCCTAGCGATGACAGGCTCGCAATAATTCGAAGCGGTATTTATCCGAGAGAGAAATGCACGCGTCGCAAGTATCGCGCAATCTATCTTCGCAGTGCTCGAATGCAGTATTTGTCCTGGTATTTCGTCCATTTGTGTCGAATTGGATAGGCTATCTCCGGACAGAATATCGGGCTTGGATCCCCCGATACATCGAGGCGGCGATATTTGGTTCTCAACAAATTTGACGAATGCCTCGCATACGCAACAGCTCCGGCACACTTCTTCTGAACAATGAGATATCGCTTGTCATGAGAGAGAGATATATTCGTCGCCAGGGGTCTCATAACCCACAGAGGTCAACTTTGAATCAGCCGGCGAGCGGCCCAACTCATTTGGACCGCGTTAAGCTCAATAGAACATGTCAGGTGGATAAATGTGCTGCAGGCATGGAACTTCATCGGCGGCATCCCTCTGTCGAAAACGACCACCCAAAATTGCTATTCTTCCTTTCTGCTAAAGGATGACAAATAAGATACTGCTGGCGCGGGCTCGGAAAGCGAGACCGTGTACATGTTTCTCGCCGTCTTTCGACTGATAAATTCCAGAAGTGGGGTCCACCGGGAGGATGCCGGATCGTTCGGAGAGCTGAATCCTCCGGACCGGAATATCGACCCAATGGGACAGAACTTTCTCGGATTGTTGGAGGGGAGCCGGATTCCTCTCATGCTGGTCAATAAAAGATGGTGTTTTCCTCCTCTGTACGCAGGAGAGCCCGTAACGCTCGAAGATAACTCGTTGATGATCTCACATGGCTTAGTGTCAGTCTGAATAGACAGAGTCATCTCACCGGGCCGACGATCGTGTAAGATGCTTTCGGAGCGGCTCGAAAGCAGGGTATAAGTCTAAATTGTCGTCGGACGTTTTATTGCTTGTTTAGATCCAGATGGAGTTCATTAGCAAATACAGAGTGCGGCAGATCCTCACAAATGCCGTTGCGTGCGCAAATTGAAACATCATCGACAACATCACTGATCGGCTCGCTTGTTTCGGTGGTCTCTACCCGTATTCTGTCTGTCCGTACGTCCATCTGTCTTCTTATTTCTCTGTTGTGCGGTCAGCAATCTGTGGGAAAATCTCCGAGCGAATTCCGGTCGCATATCATCGAGAAAATTGTCCCTTCTGACGTGTATCTAGAAGGTCGTATAACGAGAAGCTTTACATGCATATCTATGCGTGTTGGAGTCCTCTCGATAATCACATCGATGAGCTTTCGTTGATGAGGATTTTAAAGCATCGGAGGCTCAACGTATCTAGAACGTCGCAAATTATTCTGCTTTTTCCCTTTTCCCGGATCTTGGAAGTCCGCTTCCCCCTCTATACATTCATGATAGAGAAATGTCTCCCTTGTGTTAACGTCGCCGAATCAATCGAAGAAGGCTTCGGCCCGGATAATCAGTCGAAGCTCGGTGTAAGATAACTCTGGACCGTCGGATCACATGGCCGACTGCCTCCCGATCGATGGATTTGTCGAAAACAAGTGAACACGCGGAAAATACGTCGAGGAAAGGAGGTAGGCAAGCAGAAGAAGGGACTGAAAAAATTGGTAGAAATAAATATATTATATCGCTGGAGATATTTCATTGAAAAATGTCAACCAGATAAAGCGGCGTATAGTGGCCGAGCGGCGCAATCTTTAATACTCTCGTCACAATGAAAACACACCGAGAAGACATCGAAGCGAAAAGAAACAAGTGTCCGTTGCTCGATTTGGACGACTCGATACAAGTCATCCCGAAGACATTCATCGCCCGCGATGGCAAACAAAGGAGCCAGAGCGAGAAAGGAAGACCTTCTTCGTTACACGCTGCGAGAAATGCAGCGGATCATCTCCTTTCGTTACTGAGAAGCCCTCTGGGTCGCGGACATCATGAGTCCGCTGAGTCTCCCAACACGAACCTTCGGCTCGAAGGTTCGTATTGGGAGGCTTCCTAGCAAGAGATGAGTTCTCCGATCTGAGCGCGCCACTCCCCACCCAGTTTCGAGATGATCCCTAACCTGATTTCTCGCGGTGCATCGCGGAAGTTCAAGCTCGAATCCGTGAGTCTTGAGCGTGAGCTCCCCTCCGCGCTCCCCATTGTCAAAAGCGAGCTGGTCGTGTCCGTTCTATGGTAGAAATAAAACGCGGTGAAAAATGCGAAGAGCTCTTCTCGAAGTCCGGTGCCTACGGTGTCGCCGATCCTCGACAGGCACATGAAACTGTTATCAGTGGCAGACACTGCATCAGAACTTACGTCCCGCATGCGTTGGAGACAATTCGTCGTTCCGTCAAACTGGCCGACAAACAAACGGGCCGATTGCAAAGTCGTAACAGCTCGACGGTATCCATCGGAATCCGTTCCTCCACGCCGAAAACTGGAGAAAGGAATCACCGGACGGAAAAACGGTCGAACAAAGCTCGTAGCTCTTCGTTTCGTTTGCAGTGATCTTCCATCGATCCGAGAAACCTCGGGAAGCGGTCTATCGCTCGAAAGTTAATGAATTCGCTAAGCTCCCCAGTAAGATCCCGGATTATATCCACAGTAGGGTTGTGCAATATACATGCATGCCCCTTCCGTGCACTTGCCTTCGCATACTTCTCATTTTTGTGATTCCGCAGAAAACTGAACGAAAGATGATGAGAACATCACGACAAGATATATTGGGGACGAGCGTTACTTGTTAACACGAGGATTCGAAACGTTGGAAAAGCAATCGACGCCGTTGAAGTGAGGAGCCGAAGATCGATGTATAATTAAGGCACTCGCGACTAGCTGACACGCGCACACACCTCGAGCGAGAATCAGAGTAGCCGAACATCAAGTCAATAGTCACTTTCGGGTACGTCCATCCGGCAGCTACGAAGTAATTCCTATGGAGATTCGCTCTTCTCAATTCTCCCGATATTTTCCTACTCTTTCATTTCGAGGCTGTTTAGGGGCTTTTTCTAAATGGATTCTTTTTTCTCTTTCTCTTCCCGTTTTCTCCCCCTCAAGACCGAGTCAGACCGGACGGACGGGTGGACGTTTAATTTCTACATGATTCTCTTGTAGGCCGACAGACAACCGCAAAAAAAATACAACCGACACCTCTGATGAATTCGTAAACGTGACCGCCGGAATAGCCATTGAGAGGATTCCACCGAAGGAAGAGAATTATTCTTCTTTTCGCTTATCGTCTCGTGCTTTTTTTTTGCTTTCTGTGGCCGTTTGCAGACATTCAGTCAGTCAGCCAGTCGACCCCGTCATCGAGTCCGAATGCGCTGCCGCCGATTTGTGTCCGAAATTGAATACTGCGGCTTCGATTAGAAAATACTGCCAGAATTCACATGGCGTATTCTCGCGTCGGCATGATTCTAACACGCAGAGGGTTTGTGAACCCGCCGGATCCAATAAACGTTCCGTGACATCTCCGTTCGCAGCATGTACGGAATACAGTGCGCCAGAAACCCGAACCCTGGAAGGAAGTATGAGAAGTCGGCGGTGAGAATATCAGGAGAGTGTTTCCTTCCGGTGGGCAATATGATCTCTGCGGTTCGGAGACACTTCTCCCCGAGGTTGTCTCGAGGAACCTGTGCACCGGAGACATTGTTCGCTGAAACAAGACGAACCGCCTTTCAGCCTTGCTGGAGAAAGAAGACGTGCTTGCGACGTGGATAACGTCCGTGAATGGATTCGAGAGAGCATTGATAACAGGCTGAACCGCATGAAGATGAGCCCCCGAATTCTCCCACACTTCCGCGTCTCGCGTCGCTGATTCTGGGTGCTCCCGTGAGAAAAAAACTCCGGCTCCTCCAAGCGTATGATCTCCGCAGCCGGGTAACGTCCGATTATCTCCTCCATCGGACTCATCCTCATTGCATCGGAGCGACAGAATTTCGCTCTCAACGAACAGCGACCGGAGCTGCATCGGTGAATGCTCAGATGGCTCTCGCTGGATTTCCTCTCCTCCACCTACCGAGGATACAGCGCGGCCAGTGGAGGCAGGGTAGTGGAAAGCGGTTTCCACAAATCATATGTTTTCGGTAGCGACTGCTTTTCGCAAAACATTCGGTCGAGGTGTGGACTTCGGCGTTGAGAAATTTCATGAGTCCATCAACAACTTTATGCCCGCATGGAAATTCGGCGAAGCCACAGTCGGCGAATATTTCCTCTCTCAGCGACGACATAACGACGACGTCGACGACGAACACCTCAGTCGCAACAAATTCACTATAACAAGAAAGCGAGGAGAAAAATGCGGGAGTGAGGCCATGATTCTCAACGACCGACTAGGATGATGTGGTCGTCTTATACAAAATGCGGATTGCGAATCTCTCCACATACATTTCACGCTCAATAAATCTGGGGTGTGCTTCTTGTTTTTAGCGACTGTTTCCGCCACGACTGTATGGGGGCTGTGCTCACCTGAGCTTGAATTTGTTTACCCACGGACCACGGAAACTCCCCCCTCGGAACGAGCTGCAACATGTTTACAAGTTTTGATTGGCCTAATAAGGAATCACTTCTCGGTTATTGCGGAGAATCAGAACGACTTGGACTGTGGTGTGACTTTGCAAAGGGGAACGATTCTCGCTCGATCCGTCGGAGGCGAGGCTACAATGTTTCATGATCCTGAATACGCTTCGATTCAGCTCAGACCGCCGAATATTTCTGAGAAAAACCGAAGAGAGCGCGAACATTTCCGACGAGCATTTGATCTGAGCTGAACTGATCACCTCGGCAATATCCATCGATTCCGCTGAATTGTGCACGAATGAAGCTCGATACGGACTCGGGGAGTCTGCGATTGGCTGCGTGCCTCACGTTTTGACACACTTCTGCGGGACATTCATTCTATGTGGACATTATGAGATTCGATACTGTGGCTCAGCATTGCTCTGTTTCGGGGATCCATCGCGATTCCTATTTAATATGCATCACTGTGTATCCATTTCCTCCGCGCGTCGATTGTTGTACGGAGTAGAGATCTGTCCCGATATTGGCAGACGGGAGCAAGTTGTCGAATCTCCTCACTTCGAAATCCGATCACTCCCGACCGAAACAGAGAGGCTCCAGAATGCTCTTGCTAGTTCAATTATTTCCGATGTCCAGCTTTCGACGTTGGCGGCGGAGTTTCCATTCATGGTTATGGGTCCATCGTTTCAAAACAGCTCTGAGCAAAAAGGTCAACCTGCTGTGTCAGTCGTCATCTCGTTCTGACTCTCCTCTCGGAGGCTTGAGTACAATAATCAATTTAGACCGCCAGTCTCAACGTGCATTTCTGCCTGAGTTTTTGCTGTCGCGACCCAGACGGGAATCTCTCCAAGTTTCCTGACTGCTGCCGTAGCCCCGCTATAAGTCTGAGATTGTCAGACACGTCATAGATCGGTGAAGAATGCTCTGAAATCTCTCTCACCGATTATGGACTCGAAGTCGAACTATTCCCGAGCATACTGACTGCCATGTGCTTGCCGCGGGAGTCTGTGCTTTACTTTGAGCCTCGGTTGCTTCAGCATCACTGGCGAAGCCGTTGTTGACACCGAAAACTTTTCAACGCTTTAATTTGCTCTGAAATCTGCTCGCTTGGCCGAATCCTACGGAAGCCAAAGTCTCCGACGTCAAGTCTCCGGTGTCGCATATCGAAGGTAGACGCAGCCCATGCAATCCCTGCCGAGATTCCCCTGTCTCGATGAAACAGCCGAAGATCAGGGTCTGAGAGCTCCTGAGCTTTTTTCCGAGTCATTTCTCTCAGACAAATTGGTTCGTACTACGGTTTTGCGAGTCAGACAGATATCGATAAAGCTCGGAGCTAAGTGCCTCTTGTCCTGGCGGATATTGATTTCGTCAGACAAGATCTCTCGACAGTTTCTATTCTCAGCGCGTTCGCTTGCAGATGGCTCTCGCGCGCTGGAACTCCCGGGCAATCCGAGAAACGTTCGCCTCCGCATCTTCTCAATTTTCCGATCAACAACACTCGCACTCGATACAAGTTCCTCGAAACTTGCGCCAACGGAACCCGGGCCCGAATCCCGCCTGAAGGTCTCGCAGTTCAACACTAGCCCATCAAGGAGAAACGAGGAAACTCGATGCTTCGTGAAGAACGGATTGACTTCTAATTGAGACGTTTCTCACAAAATCCTAATTAGCTTTTTTCGAAGAACACCCGCACTGCGGGATCACCACGAAATGATGGCGACAACAGAACCCTCTCCCGCCTCTATGAGCCCCGCGTGCTCGACCCCACTTTCACTTCGGGCCTTACCCGGGAACGATGCGACATACAGCCAAGGTAACAAGCCCTCGTAACTGACATTTGTTCCCACTCGAGGAACCCACCGCTTCCAAAGTCTCAAAGGCGTCCCTCGTGATTCCAGATGTCGCTCCGAAGTCAGGATATGGTTCACTGTTTCCTGCAACTGTCTTTAGTTCTCTTCCTGATCTGTTTCTATCGAACAGATGCTATCAACTGGTCGTACACCTACGACGGGGACGATCAACGTGAGTTTCCGTCGTGCAGCTAGTGATTTCCGTGAGCTCCGGGCAGCCTTTCATGAATCCCCCGACTTTTCAGCCGTTTGGAGTCCCGTCAGACGGAGCCCCCCAGCCAGGGACATCGACATGCGCACGTGGAGCGGGCTCAGGAATTATTGGGGCAAAAGGTGAGTGTATCGAAGCGAGCCTGGCTCAGGTTGAGATTTCAGGAAATTAATGTGAGGGATTGATCTCGATCCAGATCCTCTGCGATGGCCGTTGTCCCGGTCCCTGTCAGTCGCTGGCGGAGTCTCACCGATTGGTGGCCCTTCAGCTCGAATGAGGCCATGGAGAGGAGCAGGAAGCAAACTGACAACTGGAATTCACTCAAAGGATATTGGGGTTAGGCTGATTGTCAGATACTCGAGCCGTTCGACCCCCCGGAACGTACGAAAGGGACCAGTTCAAGCTGGTTCAGCATGCTACGACTCTGTACACCATGGAAGGAGCATGCTCATCCGTGTGTAGCTGATTCATTGACAATTCACATTGTCATGGAACCTAATAGTTCATTTCACCGCGTCAGTTCCCATGGCATCGGATTCTTTCGAAGTGAGGAGGGGAACACGAATAATAATCGATCATCGAGTCACTCCCCTCAGTTTGTTTCTTGTCCCGCGTGAGGAGGATTCCATCGCTGGATATGATCACATAACTCTCAAGTCGATCTCGGATGTAAGTGAGGAATGTCTCTGAATAAAGGTCTCTACTCTTCTGGTTGCTACGGGCCGTGATGTGTCGTCGCCTTTCGTTGTGTAGGGCATTCGTAGTCAAGTTGAACGATTTCGCGGCCATCGACGGCGCAATAGTAGAGCATGTCCCGCGTCTCCGTTCGCCGCGCCGTTCATTTTATGTTTGTTTTTCCGTAAAGGTTTCGTTCGGGGAATAAATCTCGGAGATTGTTCGCCGCCCGATGCCCGAGAACAGTTGAATGAAGTAGAAAAGAAGCTCACTGAGTGGACGGTGCGGCGCCGCTCATTCCGGTAAGGTCTCAGAATAGGACAAGGTGTCTGTCTTTGATTTTTGTGAGTAGACACAAGCACGCAGGCGATATGACTGCTGGGCATAAAAACCGTTTCCCATCTTCGAGAGCATTCTACCGAAAGGCCTGAAACGACAGAGGACTCGGCGACCGAGTCGACAGTGGGCAAGAAATGGAACAAAACTCCTCAGAGAAAGACCCAACGAACGGAACACGACAGTAGGGTGCTTGATCAAAAGCAATGGGGCGTCTGGAAGTCCCTCTCTCTCTCGGCTTCTCTCGCTAGACTTGCCTCTTGCTCTATGGTGACGGCAGCGGCGGTCTCTCGTGCACACTCATGCACACGATTGATGTTCTGTGCGATAGTGTCTCTTGTGCAAAAATCGTCCCGGACATCTACTCTGCATTTGTCCCCGCTGTAGGCCACCGGAAGGACAGTCGAACGACCTCACCGGAGATACGCCGGTTATCGCGCGGTCTTGCTTATGAACGATGAGATCGCATTTGTATCACTGAATGAAGAGAGTTCTTGCGTCGGTGATCGAGTGCGCTGAGTACCGAAAACGACGTCCGACCGAGGAGAACTTTTCGATTGCTCATACACAGGCTCCTGGAATTTTTAGTACGCTTCGTGAGTCCTCCGAGGAGCCAAGTCAGGCTTCGTGGATCGCGTGAGCGAACGAACGAAGCTTTTTTCCGACTTGCTGCTGCTCCAATATCTCATCTCTGATCCCGATTTCCACTTAAGCTTGATATTCTAGAAGAACCTTGATTCAATCGCTAATGAGGATCATGGGCTCAATCTCCCCTGTTCCGTACGTTCGCTAAGACTTGGCGGTCGCGAAGCTCGAGTGACTCTCCCTGGTGAGAGTGCGATTTTTCTTCAGTGGAAGGCTTAGCGTCCAAACTATTCCAAAACGAAATTCAAAACCCCCTTCGAAGGATCGACTTACTGGTCGATACCTACCCGCGATCCTCTCCCACTTCAACCCCCATGAGCATATCGATGCTCATCATCGACACCGAAAATATTCACAGAGCACCGAGTTTGAGCCGCGAAACGTCCGCCGGGCCGCATAAAAATAGAACCTGGAGTGGGATGGGTTTCTAGGAGTCTCCAACCCACTCCGGCCGGGAATGACGTAAGTGGACAATTCGTATCGGTCTCATGTGACGTCGATCCCGAGTACGGAGAGCCTCTTGTGCCTTCTCTTCACCTCTCCCGTCAGCGCTGAATACTTGCATCGTCTCGAGGTGATCTACCTCCACCTGAGGCGAGCTTCAGGGGGAACTCAGAATAACGTCCTTGTTTGGATGAAAAGGACCCTCGATGGCGTTCCCGACGAGACGGAATGAAATGTCGGGGCTCCTCGATATTGAGCCGATTGCATCAGGCCGTCGGGAGCCGGTGCAATCTTCACCCGCCGCCGCGAATGTTTACCTCCAATAAGTCGCTATCGCAAGCGAATTTAAGAGATTCCCTTGGATTTTCCTAGAACGTTTGCTTCGCTTTTCCGGCAACGGATTTCTTCTCGTGTGACCAAGATTCGTTGTCGTTTAACATATGGGGTGTGGTAGAGCAATTGTGAACGCACCCCGAGCTTGCTTCCTTTCTCTTGGAAACGACCGACCAGATGACTGAACGACTTCTTCAAACCTCTGCGGCCGGACGGTCATTCATCATGCACGGATACAATAACACCTTCCACGCTGAGCTACATGAGAACTCCGCATCCGTGAAAATGCCACTTTCTGAAAGAGTGGAAACCCTTTACATGCGGGCGTGGAACGAAAGCGACCGATTCTGTGGGAAAGGTACAAATTAACGCAGTTGAACGGAGCTTCTTTCTCTCACTCAGCGACGGTGCTCTCGTGCAGGTGAATCACATAAACAGTGCCTGAAAACTACATCGGGCATGCATTCATCCCGAGCCTACACGAATCCGCGCGAGAAATTAGAGACTCGGAATAGGAGGAAGATCCGCAATGGGTATCCTTCCACTCCGTCTCCACAAGGCCCTTCTGCGCCGCGCCGACCTGCGACATCGCCCGAACACCAACTGTCTTGCATCGGCCGTGAAACACCGGCGTCGGGAAGTATTCCGCAACAAGAATCGATGTCCAGCAGCATACGTGAACGATTTCCGCCTCGGAGCTTTATTTGCACGACCGAGAGAGTCCGCTTGCGCCGCATTTCCGCATCGGCTTTTCATTGCCGAGTCCTTTGGCTTCTTTGCGAGTTCCGATAATACATATTTCGCGAATATATTGCTCGCGAAGATACCAACGCGGGCTGTCTGTGAAACGGGTTGGATTTGGGAAATTCGACGGAGCGACTAAGATTCTGAGCCACATAGATTCGAGGATCGCTTTTCGGCTGAGCCGGAATCGATGGGTGTAGCTTCGACTAGCGCGAGTTTGTCTATTCTCTAAGTAGACATGTCGACCCGCGAGTGGGCTCGTTGTCCGTTGAAGCGGTGGTGTTCAGAGAAGTCTCCGATAGATTAACTCTTTCGTTGGATACCCTCTCACCTCGAGCACATCATTCTTCCACAAGCTCCGAGCGCAGATGTTCTATGCGGAGCGTTGCAAACGATGACCGATCCGGGTCTATTTTTCGTGGTAATTTCCGCAGAGAAAGAGCTCTTCATCGAAATTTCATGAGCGTCATCGCTCTTTGATTCCACCGTCAACCTCCAGGACGGGTCGCGTCAGGCCCGCGACACAGAGTCAACTCTTATAAAGTTAACTACCGCGCGCGCGGCTGTCAGAAGCGCCTTGATCCACGAGAGCGGACAGCAAGCTGTTCTTCTATATTTATCTGAATCTGACCCTCTATTCGAAAGAGGATTGTTGACAAATATCGTCCGAGCCCACCGAGTGTGAAGTAACTCCAGCAGGGATCTTTCCGCGCCGGATGCTCTCTGGGAGTGCGAACCGCGCCAACTGTGTCGCTGACTGCGACGGAGCTTGCCGCTCGATCGACTGCATCTTCCGATCTCGTCTGAGCGTTCCACTACGATTCCGGGAGTTCGTCGCTTCCCTACCGAGATTCAGCCACGTATTCTGAGATGACGAGAGACCCTTCTCGTCTCGGGAGGAAAAATCAAGTTTCCATCCCCGCTGGAGGAAATGCGCGCTCTCGTCATTTCCGGACGGTCACCGGAATCCATGAGAATCTGCATCAATGTCTCTCCGGATCGGGCTTCGAAGTCGTAGGGCCCGAGCGAGTTCCTCTAGAAGTGGGACAGAGAACGTATAAGCTCCGCGACAGGCAAGAGTCTCCGGCAGGGGAATCGATTGTTAGTTCCTCCCGCTGTCCTTCGAAGCCTAAACTACAATACATATATTCTCGGCTCCGGGAGATTCGACCCCGGGAGATTCTCAGCGAGTGCTCGGAAGTCCGCAATAATTCGTGAAAACCCCCTCCTATTTCCCTTTTGTTTGTTCCCTGGTCAGGGATCTCGCTTCGATCAATTCTCGACAAGGTAGTTTCCATTGAATCGTGAGTGGGCTCGATTTCAGATTTAAAGGTTGAGCAGTCCATCGTGACCAGAATGAGATCGCTCGTTAAATGAACGGTGCCTCCTCCATCGACATCAATGACACGGTGGTGGCTAGATTGATCGATGACTCCAGCTGTCGTTCTCTGTTTCTCGTAACCCTTCCATTCGGAGCCTTCTGTTTCGTCTGTTTTCTCTTTGTCTGAATAGGTGCGGCGTCTCGAGAGCCCCCTGAGCGCCTATGGATCATACGAAGGTGACGCAGTTTCCGCGCGCGCTCTCCTATTAAGGTATCAAATGTGTTATTCAGAGAGCCGCGAGGGAAACGCACATCCATCATTCCACAACAAATTCCACCTGATGAATCGGGACGTTCTCCCCTCCCGGGGAAGGCTGCTTCCGAAAAATCTCCATACGAGCTTACGAATTTCACTAGACCGCTTTCAGACGACTGCATGGGGAACGAGGATAGATCAGACATCAGGAGCGAGTTGTTGTCAAGCACTTCAGCAATTAAATACGTCAATCTGTATTCGGAGAGGAAGCGGCTCGTAAAGTCTTGCGCGCTTGTCTAGCCACTTATTTGTCCGAATGTTCAGAGGTCTGTGCGTCTTCTCTTCGACCCTCGGATTGCTTTAGTGGCACGCTTGTTCGCCTATAGTCTCGAGGGACCCATTCACTAGAGCTTCTCCAAGCTCGCACAGTTGACGCTTACCGTCCCCTGAAGGGTTCAGCTGCGGCTCGGGCACTCAGATTAGTAGCTCCACTCATCGGGAGTTTCCGCATCCTGACGACGACCTCGCCGACGACGTTGGACTCAAGCCTCGGGGGAAAAGGGATTGAAATCCGATCAAGAGAAGGTCGCATGAATTTACCACGGTACAGGTATTCTGATCGCCGCGGACGGAAGACAATCAGGAACGGGTCCCCATTCAGTCAGGTACAGCATTTTATTTATCAAGGTCGCCAAAAGATTCTTTCTCCCAATACGACGCATCGTTCAGCAGTCGCATGACTTGCTGCCAGCAAACTTTGGGTTTCTGTCTGTTGTCATCGCATTCTATACAAGGCTATGCATCTATTCTCTAAATTCACTTCAGCTAAGCACAGCGGGTTTCCTCCACGCGGAACATACCCTTGCAACCTCTAACGAGTGTTGGCATCGGAATCCGGTGTTTTCTTCTCTTTCTCTCTCGCGTCACTGACGAAAGAGACTCGATCGTCCTTCCTTTCCTCTCTAAATTCAATGGCCGAAACTTCAACAGCACAGTTGAAATCAAGCTCAGCGAAAACCTGTGAACTCTCGCTTCGTTTCAACTCAACGCTCAATAGAGGGAGGGTCAGGATCTCAAACGTCCTAGCTCTAGTGGATGGAAAACTGATTTATAACTGCTGTCCGAGATGATGAATCGTAATGACCTCAGAATAAAAAGGCTGAACGTTCTTGACTTCAGGCTCGGGACGTCTCGTCTCGAAATCCGAAAATGGACGAAAGAATTAACGATTGCACTCATCGGCACCCATGATACGAGGGGCTTTGAATCTCATCGATTGGCTTCGATCGAGGTGTAACCGTGACTTATGCGAAGAAGATCCTCGTACCTTGGTTGCCAGTGACGCTTCTAGGCTATAATAATTGCATAAAGCAAAAACGCTAGCGGTTTCCTACCATTCAATAATGGGCTGTCAGCCCAAAATGCGTTAGACGTGGAACACCGTAATAATATAATTGTTGTGACCCATGCGTCTCTTCGCGCAATAAATATCAGATAAGGACGAATTCGTCGACGGAGGCCTAGGGGAAAATGGCGGGAAAGATAAGCTATACTTCCGATATACATAGTACAGAGTCATGCCTAGGTTGAAGAACTGCGTTCTCAAGTGCTTAGATGAGTCTTTGATGGATTCAACGTTCGTTCCTTGGGTACCATGACATTGGCTCGATAACTTCGGTGACTCAAAACGAGTACGGCTCCTTTGATTGGATGCACTGAGGTAGATAGTTGAGTGTCAAAGTAAATGGGTGAAACCGATCCGTGACAATTGTCCTGACGCTTCGTTATGTCTCCTTCTAAATTTTCGCCTCCAGAGCTCCGGAGACGTTTCGGCGACTTTTTCGAATCATCTCCGGGGGGGGGAGGGAGCTGTCTTCAGCTCTTTCCCGAGGCATGCGTTACCTCCTCGATTCCATCTCCTTTCGAATAATCATCCGTCAATATATCGTTAGAAAGTGGTTCAGCATGGGGCCGGCATCCGATGTTTGTCGATTGACCGGCCAAATAATTAGTCATCATCATAACACTCCTCATAGTTCTGCCATTCGACACCGCGGGTCGAAGACAATTCTAGATCACAGAGGGCCTGGCGGACGAAAGTGTGAACAGCCGACCTGGCCCGCGTCGTAAATTGATAATTCGTTGTTACGATAAATTTCCTGAATGAGTTCACAATTAACCCTCCGGGCATCCTTCGACTCATCCACTCACCCTTCACTTTCAATTGTTATAGATCCATGTTTCCGTCAACTTCATCAAAATAGGCTCAACCGGGAAGCCCTCGTTAGCAGTCCTCTCTCCAAAACTAAATCGCTGCTAGAACCTAGCTTCTTCCTTAACTTTACACGTGCGCTGTTCCACACGGATCCGCAGGACAGCTTCCCCTTCCTTCCGTCGTCTTCTCCAAAACCGAATCAAGACGAGTTTGGAAGACTTCTCGAATCCTTGGCGGACTCGACCCTATGTCCAGTTCCCGGAATCCAGATACACCGAAAATCCTGCGGTCTCATCTTGTTTAGCGCATAATCCATCCCGCGGCGCTACCGCCACCGCCATGAATACTATTATGTTTCTTCTCTGCATTATTCTTACGCTCCTCAGTCGCCTCGGCAGAATGTTACAAAGGCAGTTTTGATTATTTGTAGCTGCTTCGAAGATGAGAAGATTTTTTTCTTTGTAGCATGCCTTCGCTCTTTGTACAGGATGAAAGATTGCCCAACACTTTCGAAATTCCTTCGAGACGAGGTGACGACCACGACATCGTTCAGAACACCGTTGATGAACAACGATGGTAACAACGACGACGCCGTCGATAATGATCACTGTGGGGACAACAACAGATAGTCATTTAGAAGTCGTCTTCCGAATCCGAGTCGGCGGTGGGGTCGTTTTGTAGGAGGACGTTCCACCATTCATGGACCTCTCCCACAACTGCCTTGAGGTACTTGACCCCTCCGCCGGGCTCTCGCGAATGATGTCCCGGATCTTCGTCCAGGGAACCTTGATAGTGTTGCAGCAAAAGAGGATATTCTCCATCTGTTCCAGGGGTCGTCGCCAGTTCGCTGCTCTCGCTAACTTCCGGCAACCCTTTACCGATCGCTGAGGGGGAATTAATCCGGTATAAGAAGGGTATTTCTCATCGAGAGAAGCGGCCATAATTGCCACGTTGTAACCGTCTGACGTTGAGAACCCAAGACTCCAAAAATGATTGCATGTAGGTACTAATGCTTTTTTTTTCGCAAAGCTCACCCGAACTCCATTTTTTGAGAGTAGTGTATGACCTCTCCTTGTCCCTCTGGTCTTTCTCTGCCGGACTCAGTTGTTTGTCGGGTCCTGATGAGGTCAGAGATTTTCTGCCGCCGATAGGCACTCCGCCAGCTGACGTGATGCTGTCAGACCTGATTCCAAGTTTCTTCTTGCCTTGCTTACTCGCTGCCTCCTGGCTAAGCTCCTGAGTGCCTCTACTCGCTGCTGAGGGCTGTTCTGATCCGCTAGTTGAGCCATCCTTGCCCTCCTGTTGAAGCTGACTCCCTGCGACTGATGTGCCCGCCGCCGTTGCTTCTGGAAGGCAATTAGTCTTATCAGCTTGCGACGGGTGCAAAACGAGCCTATCTCGGGAAACCCGCTCTTCCTCCTCGTCTTCCTTCCTTCCTCCCCAGTACCTTCGGTCGGCGTGGGCGACATTGCTGTGGTTTTAGGCGGAATGGCGGTGACCGATGGCGACATTGCATGTTGATCTTGAGAGGACAGGCCAGCCACTTGGATAGTTGTTGTGGTGGTCGCGCTGACAGTTGCTGCGGGGGTTTCTTCTGTCGGTCCGAAAACTGGCGGACCGTCGGAATCGCCCTCCGCGCCTTGGGTGGACCCCGAGTCGTCGAGCCCCTCCCCCGAGTCGTCTTTGTCTTCTTCGTCTTCTTTCTCTTCCGTGAGAGTTTCCCCTCCCACGTGATGCGGTTCGTGACTCGGCGAGTGAGGCGGATGGCCTGACAGACCCAGGGGCATACCACCAGGGGTAGTCAGAGTGGCCAAAAGAGGTTCATTGGTTACCCGAAGACTGTGGAGCAGATTCACCTCTTGCTTCGCGTGCTTGATACGCCGAAGGCATTTGTCTAACCACTCTCTGAAATGGACGTGACGCTCGATGACGGACGCGATGAAAATGTAAAAGCCGTCACTTCGTCATGGATCCGCGGAATATCCTGCTGGGCCATCCAGCGCATCTAGTCGTGTTAACTCACCTAATCGTTTGTTTAGCGACCTCTTCTTCAATGAGGTATTCTAATTCCTCGCGTGCCAGCAGCTCCTCCAGTTGAAGCGATTTCCTAATGTCTACAGATCTGTACGATAACATGCTGTGGAAAAGAAAGACCTATCACGAGACTGTTCACTCTGCGATAGGGGCCGATCCAGGAGTACTCCAAGGAGAGCGGTCAATGCATCGAGGGAGAGGCGGATCGTCTGGGTCCTGCTATAACATTGGGACTATGGGAAGTTGGAAGTCTCGAGGGGGAGGGAGGGATCGCCCGACAGCCCCCTCCCTTCTGGATCCGTCGCTGAGGACAGTTTTCCCTGAATATGCCCCCTCACTCACTTCAGTACATCGTGGAACGTGACATCTTCACCGTTGTGCAGGCGTTCCATTTCGTAACACATGTGTTTGTATAACAATCGATCTTTCTGAGGGTCTACCTCCAGACGACCCGTTAACAATCCCAGTACGAATTTCACTCTGAAAAACCAAGGAATGATGTCCCAGAACGGGAAATAATAATACACTGCATCCGATGAGGAGTAGCGCACCTCTGTATCACCAGCGGAAAACTCTCCACCCTCATTTAGTCTTACCGTCTTATAGGTATTAGGCCTCTTTGTTGTACGTCAACAATATTCCAGGTAGATTGGTAGATTCTGATATCGGCATAAGAGAGAAGAGCATCTTCTTCGTTCGAATAAAACAAGGAGAAATTCTCCATGATAATAGCGACCAGGAGGTTCAACACAATATAAGTGATCATGACGTAAAATGAACAAAAGAATATCAGAGCACCTGCGAAGAGAGCGAAGAACAGCGATCAGTCCGAATTTTTTCATGGATGTCGTTGATCACGCAGGATTTCGATACTTTGACAATTCGCGTGCGGAAGTCTCGGAAAATTATGACGTTCCCGTTCGGCGGAGGAAAGTCTTGAGAGGGAGCTATTCGGAGTTCGGATCTTCCGACTGAGCTCAGACTTCCTCGAAAAGTCTTTTTCTCACCTAAAAATGAACCACAGTCTGTTTCCCAGTAGTTTTCCCCGACCGTGCAATATGGTGGGGATACCATGGCGTCGTGCATGATTTTGTTCCAATCTTCCCCAGTGACGATTCGGAACAGCAGGGCCATACCAGATGGAGCCGTGCTGAACGACGCATGGCGATATCTGGGAACGAGAGAACTCCGACGTCAGACTTATGGCCGATCAAGACCTATCGGAATTTTCGTTCAGAGAGGGGAAGTTTCGGAAGGGCAAAGAAAACTCTGGTATAACTCACCGTCCTAAATGCTCTCCTTGTTTGACGTTCCCAAACAGGATCACGCCGGTGCAGGCGTAGAAGAATATCAACAAAAACATCCCCATAATAATGAAGAAACTCTTGTATACAGACACAACCACAGTTAACATAAGCATCCTAAGTGTGGCCTGCGAAGCAAAAATATAAGTTATGGATAAATTGCTTTTCAGCTCCTTCATGTTCCATTATGCCACATCTGTATACTACAGATAAGTCTTGTGGGACGCGACCGCGATGCATGCGTTTATGATCTACTCACGTGTTTTCCGGTTATAGTGAAAAATCTCAGAACCACTATAACGAAACCGATGGAGTTCGAGGTGACGTTCAAAAACCAGAAATGGAGCACCACCCAGGCGACTCCGAGACACGTAACGAGCATTTCGTATCGATTGCGCCCACTCTGCCAGTAGCCGCGCGGTGTGAAGGCGATGAGCTTCATCACCACTTCAATAGCGAATAAGATGGTCAAGCCGGCAGACGTTGTTGCTAGCAGCATATTCCACTCGTGTGTCGTCCACGATAAGCCAAGCAAGAGGCTATTGATTATTACGAGGGCAGCGAAGAGTCGTGAAAACCATTTCTGTTGTGTGATGTCGTAGATGAACGCTCGGAATCGATGATGGTCCGGTCTGGGGGGCAAATGTAGGGGCTGCGCAATTTTCAATCGTTTCTTGTGATCGCACCAACGCCGCTGGTCGACGGTCAGCAGCGCCGTGCCTTTGTTTTCACTGTAGTTGGCAATTACTACGCCTGTTGGAGGTAGAGATGAAGAACCTGGATGTTAGTCGGGTCGCATAGCCGCCGATGACGGCTGTCGAGGACTGGGTGGCCGACTCTCGAGGTACGCCACAAGAATCCATTTTGACCCCGGATACGCACCTACGAAAAGGGTGAGTCCGATCATACACCCAAGGAAGACGTAGAGGTGGATGAAGATGGAGTGGGCGGGACCCAGCCGATGAATTATGACGTCGCGGATGTCCAACCAGCCTTTGTATGACAGAACCTCGAATAATGCCAGCATTGCGTTGCCGATATTGTCGAAATGGAAACGCCGAGGGTTAGCCCTGCAACGAATCTTTCCTCAGACTCCTCGTCGAGAGTAGAATCAGATCATGTGCCTCGACGCAGACCTCGTCAAAAGGAGGCCGTTGGAGTCATGTGTACGTCCAAGGATATGCACTCACCAGATACGAGGCACCAAGAGTTTGGGCATGTTAGTGACATTTACAGTCTTGAGCTTCATTCTGGTAATAAACACGGATCGTTCGAAGACGCCATAGCAGTCTTCTCTACGCGTAATTGTTTGGTCATTACAGCGTGCGAGCCGTCCTCCAAACAGATGGACCCCATAGCAAGCGAACACGAAGATCAGCACTATAATCAAGATGGAGACAAGCAGGATCTCCTTGAAGCCGCGACATAGTTCGCAGACCACGCGCCGCATGTGCGGCACCAGCGTAAATATCCGAAGCGGGCGTACACATCGCAACAGAAGCAGAAGGTGCGCCGGTGAATGTGGCGGAACCTGCGAACGAAAACCCGTGAATTCGAGTTCACAGCAAGGGGCTCTCGGAGCACCCGGAGTCCACCGCTCGCGCGACGAAGGTCACGTTTTGCTCGACGCGATGGAATTCGTTCGGTTTCCAGGGGATTGATTCAAATTGCCTCACCTTCTCAGGCAGCCAGCATATGAAGATCAGGGACACGGTGTAGACGAAAACATCCATCACACCTGCGGCATCCCTGACCAAGGCTTTAGGAGTGAATAACAGCCCGTCGGCGAGCGTCTTGAGGAGCAGTTCGATGCTCATGCACACCACGAACACGTATTCGGCGATTTGGAGGCGTGGGGTATTCATGACACGCTGATACGGCGTCTCGAGCATCATCGAGATGCACGAGATTGTCGTCACCATGATCATCGCCCAGTCCAGGTAGGTAACCAATCCCAATAGATTACTGCGTGAGATTCAAACCTAAGCTTAGAAGAGCTCGGCGAGCCGCTCGTTTTGACATTCGATGACAAATCGGTAAACAAACTTTGATGGACGATCGCTTCTGAAAACGAAACTCACTGGACCGTTTTGTACTTGATCTTCCTCTCTTGACCGGTCACCGGATCTCTGAACCTTGGGTCGTAGCGTGCGTAGACGATTCGCTGACAGAGTTTCCGAAATTTGCTTTCTCGACCCACGATTAGCAGGGGAGTGTCAAAGTATGGATGGTTCTCGCGAAGATCCTCCTCGCGCTGGTTGCGCTTCATCTCGGCTTGCTGGAAAAGGAAAAATCTCAATCGAATCGGTTCAATCGCTTCCGATGATTGAGTGTCAGCACTCCGATCTCTGACCGACCGGGATACGTATCCCCGGAGAAGGGGCCCCCAGCACTCACTTGACGTTTTTGTTGCAGCATTTTGATATCGAAGTCGTGGAGCGATCGTCCCATCTCTCCTCCGTTCTCTTTCATGTGCTCGGAGTATACGGCTTGAGTTCCCCCCATCTTCCCACCCACCTTCACCGACCCGCCTCGAACGGAGCGCCTCATCGAACGCGATCGGGAAAACCTATTTCGATTTGCGAGAGATGGGAAGGAAAAAATAAGTTAATCGATCGGCCAGCTGAGTGGACTCCGGCGAAAATCGAAGCGTCCAAGCGAAACATTCCGCTCGATAAGCGCATTCTTTGGTGTTGAAGCGTTCAGCCATCCATGCCTCATTCGAATCGATGCGATAGGTGCGCGATAGCGAGCTTAACGTCGTCGTTGTTCGAGACGTTAACTACCTGTTGAGCACATGGACCAGATCGTCGAGCCGGATTTCTTCTTCTCCCATCCGCTCCCTCGACTCCTGGCTCCTAGTCTCCCACCCACATCCAGCTCGATGGAGAATCCCTTCCCGACGATCTATAGAAAATCATCGAATGGCCGGTTCACACATCAATTCGTCAGGTGGATCAAAGGACTGGCTGGCATCGAATCGTCGTCTAGAACCGAGAACTAAGTGACGGGTCGTTTCTGACACGGTGTGAGGATGAACTCAAAGTTGTTTGGAGGTTGGTGGCAAACTCATTACGGATGGATTCATGACCCGGAACTGGGTGAGTTCTCCGGGCCTCGAACGTTCGCCTCGCACGACTAAACAACATTGATGACGGCATTCCTACGAATATCAGAGGAGGTGCAGAAAACCGACAGGACACCACGAACGACATGGAGGACATACACGGCGACATCGAGAACATCTCTAATTATTGCTTGCGAAATCATAAGTAGTGTCGAAAAGATATTTACACCATGGGGGCGCCTGAGCTGGGACCCTGTTCTTCCCTGATAGCGTTGCTGCATTGCGTCAAATTGGATCTCTTAGTTCAATTATTTCTCCGGTTAATAAATCTGTCTAGCTTGCTCCGGAGACTTTGAATCTTCGATCAAGTATCCCAAAAGCGAGGGTTTCGCGACTAATGAGATTTGAGTCGCCTAAATTCCCTTGAATCAGGAGGGGTACACCCGACAGATCCAGAAGTCGTGGGAACCACGCGAAATTCAGCTCCTTCGGCGAGTCTTTCATCGACATTTCTTCCAATAGTCGAATCGAATCTGGATATGTTGTTGCCGGGAGATGTGCTCTCCCGGCAATATTTCTCCGACGATTGCGCGCATAGAGAATCATCATATTATTATCTAATATATATATATATTATATATATTGATATATATACATATATCGCTATATATCGTAACCTATAAACAATCGAGAAGCTTTGTAAGCATTAGTGAAGCAGAGATTGAAACAGGTGGGTCATAATGCTCATAAGGAATCACAACGAAATCCTCACAGTACTTGGTCAAACCAAAAAATTCTGCGCTACGAATCTAGGCGCTTAGCGGAGGCCGGAAATGGCGATGAAGCAATCGAAGAACCGAACGTTGAAAAGAGGAAACTTAGCGATAATCTGAAGTTTTACTATAAAATGAAGGTCAAGTTCCAAAAGCTCCGCGTTGGGAATGCTGAGAAGTCTTCATTAGCGGATAAATAGAAAGACAGAGACGGGGTCACGGAAGAGACGGTCTAATAGGAAAATTGGAGAGCGGGACACAGAGATGAGGAAGAAAATTGCATCGCTAACCTCCGGTCCAATCTCGTCTGCTGTTTTCCTCCGCAACTAGACTGAGGAGGAGGCTCCATAGCTTCTATGAGCCGCTGCTGGTTCGAGTCGCTGAAATTTTCGAGTCACTTGATCTTTGTTTGCTTCCAGGGTATCCAAGAAAATCGCACCGCCCTATGGGGTGGTTTCAATCTGAGATACCACCGCCCTATGGGGTGGTTTCAATCTGAGATTCCACCGAGGCGTGTCCGTGCCCGGGATTCCCTCTCGGAATTTCAGATTGATTCGTAGCTTCGTTCTGGTAATACGACACAAACAGACATTCTATGTTGCGAGGCTTGCCCGTGTCACATCAATTTCGAGAAATCAGAGTGCTCCACAAGTGAGTGCTCGAAACTACGCATCCGACGGTTTCTTCGTGCTACTGTGTACAGCTTCACTTCGATTGTGAGGTTGCAGTGCCACGAGATTCGTTCTTGTCGTGATACAAACTCCAATTTCCCTTCTCAATCGAGTTACCGTGAACACCAGAGGATTGAGATCTTGGCTTGCGTAAGGAATATTCGAGAGCTTTCCCCGCCCAGTGAAACGGGGAAGAATGACTTACATGATGATATTAGTTACCGTCACTCTTCTCAGAGTGGAAGCAGCTACTCGGACCTTGTTCGGTTGATTGAGGAGGTGAATGGGGGTCTTTTTTCTGCCGAACGAAAATCGGGTTAGTGTCAGGGGTAGTGATTCCGAAACTACACAGGATCTCTGGGGGTCCACGCGGAGATCGTATCTTCGAGGATAAATGAATTTTCGGCAATCACCTGTAGGTGACGATGTCGATTCCATTGATCTGATCATCCCCCAACTTTCTGAGCTCGGGACATTCGTCCTGGAGCTCCTCTGCGAATTGTTTCATAAAACTCTCCCGAACTTTCGGGACCCCAAACTCTGACGGCATCCGATGTAAGCGGGTCATTTGAGGACTGTCCGCGAATTTCTCGAACAACCTGAGGCGAGAGGAGAGAGAATCAATTATTGATCCGTATCGTGAACCCTGTACCATGACAAAAACCATCTCTGGAGCCGAGTAGCCTTCGAGGATCTTCCTTCGAATCGATGAGGGCGATTCCTTCCTTGCAGAACGGGAGAGAGTCGGCCGCCTCATAAGCAAGAACGGTTCGATCGAAGAAGAGAAGCCAAAGATTGAGGCCCCGAGTTCTCGATTTAGCTCTATTTGGGAGAGAATTAAATTACCTCAGTCGTATCGGCAGCCCCTCTGTGATGCCAGCGCTTTGCTCTCTGGCTTTCAGTTGTTTCAGTTTTTTTATATCTTCGTCTAACTCTAAGTTGTCCAGAATGACAGCAACGAATAGACTCAACACGATCTGCGGAAAGAGAGTCTCGATTACCGACAAGCAATTTCCGGGCACAGCTATTGTTACCGAATATTGAGGCGATATAATTCGAGGAGCAGGAAAGCCTCCCTCCATCGGAATAATTATTGTACGCATCACACATGCGTGATCGGGGAGGGAAAGGGAGGGGGACGGAGGCATCCGATACTCACGAGTGATACGAAAAGATGGTATGCACTGAAGTAGAATCCAACGATAAAAACCAATGGTGTGTTCCCTACCCGTAACATCGTCTCGTTCATCACCTCGACCCAGCCTTCTTGGGTGAGAATTTGGAACATGGACATGAAAGCCTCCGGAAAAGTTTCGAATTTGTGGAAGTTCAAGTTGCAGAACAATTGCATCGATAACGAACTCGTGATCAGCAACAAACACATAGTGAAGATGATCAGTGAACCGAGTTTTTTGCCCGGACCAAAGATCTTGTAGACGAAGTCTTCCAAAACAGGCGAGGCTTTAATCAGTCGAACGATTCGAAGAACCTGCAAGACGGATTATTTTAGCGGACCCTCATTCTTTAGAACTCAATATGGGATCAGAGCACCTCGCTGGCGACCTCATCAATCGGAGAATGGACGCTGTCAACTCCATCCAAAAGACTGATGAAAGTCGCCAACTCAAGACTAGTGAGCTTTCTTTCTAGATTTTCATTAGGTGGGATTCGTTCAACAGTACGCATTTGGAGAATGCGGCCGGGCTGATCCGGAAGGAACTCTTGTAGACTCACTTGAAAAAAAGTCAACTCGGACTTGAAGAATTGCGGAATAATGTGAATGGTCGTGCCGACCGCAAGCAAAAATTCTAGCTTATGCAAAGATCGTTTGATATATCCTTTGAAACCGAGACACCAAATCTTCATTAAAACTTCGAGGTCAAAGAAGAGTGTGAAACCTGGAAAGACAAGTAGTGAGCTCATGTTGACGGATGGATCCCAGCCTTCTCAGTGCATTTAGCGAATCATTACGGGATTCCAAGAAATCGATGGGATAGCCTTACCAATCTCCGAATAGTAATAGGTGGAAAAGAACTCCTCCCGAGGTCTGCCGTCGTGCACGAAGCACACCGAGGCAGCGACACAGGCATTGGCCAGATTGATTATCATCACGATAATCTGGAAGGCGGCCGAATGAATCAACCGCTGAAGGCATCTTGGCGCATGGCCCTTGCCCGCTCCTTCGTCGACAGTGACGAGCTTCCATCCGCTGTCATCCCCTCGCAGAACCTGAATTCCAAAAAGGAACAATTCGCTCAAAATCCGGGAAACGAACTCGCGACCGTCGACTCGATGGAAAAGCAAAGCTCCTCGATGAGATGCCAGTCTCGCAACACCTGCGAGCGCGGCAGCCTCTTGTTCGCCTGAAGACGCGGAACGAACTCCTCCCAAGCTCTTCGTGAAAAACTTGAACTACAAGCAGTAGACTTACTTGCACGGTGGTGTCCGTGTGGATTTGGACACGCTCACCCCACATCTGCTGGAACTGGACTCGAATCTCGTTGAATGTTTCCGTGATCACAGCAATGAAAACATTTTTTACGAGCCACGCGAGGAAGAAAATCATCGTGGTGAAGTAGAAAGTGGCTCTCCACGCCGGTAGCGAATCCACAGCTTGATACATGAGAAGAGCCCAACCTTCCGGTGAGGCTGCTTGGTACACTGTGAACACACTGAGAGCGAAGTTGTCAAATCCGGCGTAGCCCGAAATCTTCTTGGGCAGTTCCAGCTCCATGCAAACGAGGTCCGCTGGGCAGCTATAGCCCATATCGGGGTTGTTCGAACAGTAATGGTCGGGCATTGACAGGTCTTCAAGAGTCACGTTCTTGGGATCTGTGCCGTTGCGAACGCAGTGCGCCCCCATTTGACCAAAGAACTGTACCCCGAGAAGTCCGTAGAGAGACATGAAGAACAGGAAGAATAACGTCACGTTGTAGATTTGATGACTCGAACGTCTGTGGAAGGAAGTTCCGACATGAGATTGGATCTTGGGGATGCCCTGTCGCATCGCGGAGCCATTCAGGGTGCAATGAGATGGAACTTTTTCCCGCCTTAGGCATTGTCCTCTGCCTTAATCCTCGTGAGATACGCAACCCGCCAGATGTCGCCACTAGTCTTGTTTAGCTAAGCTTTTTGAGTATCCCCACGGAGCGTGCCTCCCAACCATCAAGACACGTTACTTCTTAATGTAAAAGCGCTCGCTCACTCACTTGCAGATTTGTTTAAGTCTCGCTTTCGGCATTGAAAACTTCAGAAAGACTCGTATGAAGCGGATCATTATTAGAGGTCTCGGCGCCCGAATGAATGGATACGATGATGATTTCTCGAGGAATGTCACCTCGAAGCACTGAAGCACTACGGAGGCCCAGAGACTGATAACCATCAATGCGTCGAATATACACCAGTAGTCCTTGAGGTACGCTAGCTCGTTCTGGAAGAAGGATTCGGATGGTCGATTCATTATGATGGGAGAGCTTATCATATTCTAATTAGGGTCCGATCTAGGTTGAACGAAGTCTCGCATCGCGGTTGGTGAGCTATGATCGGGAAATAGAGAGCTCGATGGCAAATCAGTCGCGACCTGTTCTCCTGTGAGACCCCGGGGCTGGAACCCGTACGGTTCAAGGCTCATTCGCTCATTCAGCAATCTAAGCGAGGAAGGAGTTATGAAGTTCTCACCTGCACATGGTTGTTGTACAAGCCTTTGATGCGAATTTTGGCAATGGCTTCGGAGGAGAAGAGGAGCGTTGCGAAAATATCGTAGCCGAACGTTATCCATAATAGTGATGGGAACATTTTGAATGTCTTCGTGGTATTCACGCTGACAGATATCAGGCACAAGAGAGCGCAAAGTCGTAAAATGCGCCGTACCCATGACTGTAAAATTGTAAGGAGAATTCTCTTACTCCGCGTCTCGGTTCCTTACTTCTACTCCCGCCGCCCGAGAGTTGGACGCCCCTGTTCCCCGCCACCGATTCGGCCCTTCGCTAAATAGGCCGATTGTTGTTCCCATTGATCGCGAAAAAATCTTTGCGCGCGGTCGAGTTCCGGAAACGCTCCGATTGCGGGAGGGCAACCTCGCCACGAGCTACAAGGTGAATGAAATCGAGTGTCGGAGGGGACCCGGGCCGAAAATGCCAAGAAACGGAAATGATTGTATCGTTTTTAGACGGCGCGTGCCCCGCGGGAACATCGAGCCGTCCTGCCCCATCACGGCAGACGTCATTTTAACGGCACGACCTCCCAAGTCGATGACGCTGCGTCGTGGTCGGGAGCTTGGTCTGGATGTCGACTCGACAACGGCCTCTTCGATTGCCCCATACCACAGATCAAAATCATTGCACTCCAAGCACAACAATCGGAGCAAAGGCGTCGGGAGCTCCCTCCTTGAGCAAGGACGATTCTCAGGGAAACAGGTGTCCTCTACTGTCTTCCCCGAACAGAGATGAACCCCGGCCGTGCGTAGACACTCTGATACAGGCTCCCTCGTTGTCAGAAGGAGCGACGACTCGGTCCGACTAATGATATCGAACTGTTCAACTCACCTTATTAACCCACTCGATGTCTGCTGATTCATTAAAGCTTTCGTCGGGTCCGTAGTCTGCCAGGATCGGCTCGGTGCCTCCTTTCACACTTTGTTTTCTGGCGAGCATTTTGGACGGTGTTTGTTCTTGTTGTTTTATTCCAGTGGTAGCGTAGTATCCTCCGAGGAAGCCAACACGCCTTCACCAACAAGCTCTACACTACAATTGACTATCGCCTAGAAGCTATGATCGTCTGGATCAAAAATTGTTATTCTCGTTCGTCGGGAATTTTGTTGTAGTTCAGGTGGGTTGTTGGTGCTTGGATGGCAATAAAGTTGCCCGCTCTGCGATGCTTGGACGGATGGCTTGTTTTAGGCTCGACAACCCGGGCAGCTTCTGAGTCAAGTGTCATAGTGCTTCTCCTGCAACGGACACAAATCGATTGCTCTGTCAACAGCTGCGACAGACGTCTTGCCGAGGTGCTCCCTCGGAATTTTAGCGCTGCCCCTGTTGCTCCTCCGGACGGGAGGAATTCCTTCGCCCGCCAGCCGAGATCAGCGAATCTCGACGCCCTCGACGACGACGACTCGGGCTCTCCGATACCGCATGGACAGAGCGCTGCATGCGAACGATCGCGTCGGACACGGCACAAACCTTTCGGAGCGGATGAGGGTGAAAAGCAGGCGACCGCTACAGCAGGTCTTCGAGCGGACGGCGAGTTTAATTCGGAGCCATCTTGCGCCTGAGCTCCTGGATAGTTCTCCTCCGTGGCTTCCAGGGAGTCCTAGAGGGCGCCTCTGTCCGTGTTCAGAGTCTCTTTCCCGCAACGCCCTTCCCTCATCCACGGACCGCCGGCCGATGAATAGCAAATGAGGGTGCAGTGCAACAGATGTCGTGACTCTCATTTTGGGTGGAGACTGAGGTGGCTATTTCGTGGGATTTAACGATGACACCTCGCTTTCGAGCCGCGACCATGAACACGACCGCTAATTCGTAGCGTGGCGCGATTAATCACACCTTCGGAAACGAGGCGAACGGAGACGTCTCCGTAGGGTAAACTCCGCGAGGCTTTCTCGTTTTTATTCCGCGGGAGAAAACAATATTCCGGAACAAAGGATGAAACGGCGACGCACCCTCTGGGAAGCTCCGGAAAAGATTATTGTTCCTCGCATCAAAATAGCGTGGTCTATTAGGCCTGAGCAATATGGTAAACAGTCGGAAGCGAAAAGAAGCAGGCTTCTCCCGAAGAACTCGCAACCCATAGGAATTCTCCGCGAGCCCAGCCATCAACGAGCAATCGAAAGAACTCTCCAGACACGAACAAAAGGTCGAGTCGGAGTCTCGCGGCTTCATCGGGTTCCTAGTCAAGGAGGTAGATCAGTCTCTTCCAGAGCAACCGTTTTCCAATAGGAGAAATAACAAGTCAGGGTTTATTTTCGCTGACATTTCCTCCACGCTCGATTTCTGCATTGACTCACAGTGACAGCTGAGCGCGCACCCCGGAGCTGACTGAGTGTCCTCTCCGAGGCCCGCCCCTTGTCCCCCTCTGGGACAAGGAGAAACCAGTTTAGTGTTTTCTTCTCCGAATTCCCCAGCTATCGAGTCCGCGATCCAAATCGGTCTCAATCGTCTGTGTAAGAGCTGGATGCCCAGCCTCCTCCTCCCTAAGCTTGAGATCTTCCCGCGAAGCAAAGAATCAAGACTTCCCCTGAATCTTTGTTCGGTGATCTCGGCCGTTTTCGGAAGCGTCGAGACTCAGAGCTGGATGGACGAGGGGATGAGGAGGTAGTGAGCTCATGGGGCGCTATAGGACGCCCGAGAGATTGTAGCCGATGGACCTTTTTCCGTCTCTTTCACTCATCGTTTTGCCCGTCCTCGGAGCGTGGAAATCCTTGTGATCCTCACTCTGACCTACAGTTCATCATTGATCACGGAGTTCGGCTACCAAATCTAGAGCGTCAGTTCAGATCCCTCCTATCACGATATCTAGGGAGCCAGCGAAAAACTCCGTGAAATTGTTTTCAACGTTAAAGGGACGAGAAAACCCAATTCCCTACGCTGCCCTTGTTTCGAGCATCCGCGGGCGAAACTTCAACGATTCCGCCGGTCCAGCCGGTCCCGGAGGAACGTTCCGTGACCATTGTGACAAGGATCCTCGCTGGAGGAGGAGTGCTCTCCTCGATCAGTAGGATTCCGCTTGAGGCATCAGTACAACGCGATTAGCCGAGTTCCATGCTGAGAATCGACGATACGTCAGTGGCCTTATGCCTTCCGCCGCCCTCGCAGGGGCAAACAATCTGACGGACTGACCCACCTGGTAGTCGATCTACCTCTTGAAGCACGGACTTCATACCCGATGGACAGACGAAGAGGCGGAGCGGCGAGCAAGTAGGTGTACAGACGGGGTTCATTCGTTCGAAAATATGACCGTATGACGAGAACAGTCTAAAATGTCGAAAACGATACTCCCGAGCTTCTCGTCACAGGGAAGTTCATCACCCACGCCCCGGCAAACCTGCGAGCGTGAAAGAATTGAGATCGAGTCGCTGACATTCCCACGCCCCGCGGAAACTCCCGTAAATTCGAAGAGGTCGTGCGAAATTCCCCTAACATCAGCCATACTCCCCTCGTGGACGGAGAGAAGTCGAGAGTCGGAACCTGAGGAGTTTCGATGTAGCTCCTACAAAGCCGAGTCTTTGCCGAGGCCTGCCGTGTCTGAGCAATCGTCTAAATCTGCCATACTCGGCCTTTGCCGACTTCATTGAAGAGTCGGCCTCCGCTTCGAGGAGCTACGCGCCCAGGAAACCAAAATCAGATGTGTTTGAATAGGTCTCATGTTCTGAGATCGGTTTTCTGGTCAGGAACAGAGGATACGGAGCGGGAAGCACCTGCTGAATGGACTGGCGCTCAATATTCGGACTGGGGGGACCAATCGTGGGCTCGTTGGGCGATATACGAGCCAAGAAACGATGCTGATGATCTCTGCCTTTCGCCGGATCTTCTGACGAAAGGTACATTTGATGCTGATGCATAGTTTTTTTCTAGTTCTGGATCTTACCGGTCAACCCCTTGACTTGTTCCGCCGCATGTCATTAGACGGAGCACCTCAGCGGGTTTTCGATGCCGAATTCGTTCCCAGCACGGCCGCTGAGAATCTGAAGCTCATCCGCATTGAGGTTTTTCTGCAAGATCCGGTAACCTATAGGGTTCCGGACCTTCCGAAAATAATGAAAATATGTATCTCGGGATTATCAATAACCAGACCCGCGACTACCGACGACACGTTTGTCGATCCTTGAAATTCGAAACGGACCTTCCGACTTCTGGCGAACCCTGACACGGTGCTGGAGAAAAGCTGCAGATTTGGCGCGTTATTGTCCGTCATTAGTTACGCTTCGAAACGCTCCTCCTCGGAAACTGTGCAATGTCGCCCGTGTTTGAAGTAAGATACCCGCCAGAAGACCGAATTGGCTTGTGTCAGATTCGAGTAAAAAGACTTATCTCCGAGCGGGTATAGGGACAAGGCTGTCGTGGCTGGCGTGGTCTTCGGCGCGTTCGATAGACCCAAGACCCATGATACTGATCCCGGGAGCTCCCTCGCACGAGTTCCGAAGATGACATCAATGACATGTTATGCATATTGTACGAAAGAATCGATCAGATTTTTCTTATGTACACGGGTCCATATGAGATGGTTGACGAATCGACTACAGTTACATGTAGAAGTCTTGACAACGTACATTTATGCTCAAATTCTAATGCTCCGTTTATATTCCTCTATCCGTCGATCAATGGTTTCAGGCCCCGACTTGCCCTAGACGTGTAAGAACGTTCTCCCACGGAACGTTCTCCGCCAGAAGCGAATAGTATTCGGAGCTTTCTTCACTCCTACTCGTTTCCTTGCACGGCTTCCTTGCGTGCCTTGCAGTGCTGAAGAAACTATCGGAAACTCTCGGGTTAGTGAAGCATATATGAGGCTCGTCCTCTTCATCGGTGCCACCTTTGTGTGATTCATCGCTTGGGGAAGCCTTCGGTGTGCACTTCTGCGGCGGAGACGAGCATGTGCCGACGGCTCCGCGCGACAAAGCAGATAGTCCAGAACAGGCGAACTCCGGGAAGGTCGTGGACGATTTTGCAAGATCGCAAGGACAGGAAGACGCCTGAAAGGATGTCGAGCGACCTGAGCGAGAGACATCTACCGGGCGACTTGTGGCGACTCCAACGGCCGAAAATTCAGCGCAAGATTCCTAGGGCCGAGAGGGAAGTTTGATCGACTGAGACAATCAGAGCGGACCATCCATGTATTGAGCTAAGCATGTGGATACCGTGAACGCTGTGTACCGAGGACACGGCAAGGGAATTTTGTCGAGAACATCCCCAGGACCGAGAGGAAGATTTGCACGAAGATCCCCGGGAGATCGAGTTTCGAACCGACAATCCAGATTGAGTCCCGACGTCTCAAGTCCCAGGGGAGATTTCGGTAGGCATCCGACTCTGGACTCCGCCGCGCTCCAGACCCAGTCGAAGTTGGTTCGGTCTCCATCAAGAACTTCGTATGTCAGAGCGCGGTTGTCTTTCACTCCGAGACCTCCTCGCTCGGATCGGGCTGCCCTCTCTCCCGGTTCTTCTGTAGCACCGCCACCAGCAGAACCCGTCAGGGCGCATTGAACCTCCAAATGGACGATGCCGAGCCACTGGTTGTGGAATCAAAAATCAGCATTTTCGGCGCTCCTTCGACGCTCAATGTTGCTCGACAGCAACCACTCTCCAGCAGAACTTCGGTGAAACTCTGTTTCTTGATCGGATCCAGCGAGCTCGTGAAAGTTGTCGGCTCGTACGGGATCCGGTACTACAATGGCGATACTTTTCCGATGGACCAAACATTTTTCGTGGTGCTCCTGGAGCTCAGCAAAGCTCTGGTCTGTTTCTTCGTGCATACTCTCACGCACGAGGGCTCGGCCTGGTCACCGTTCAACTGGAGACTCCTTCTACCGAGCGTAGTTTACGCAATGACGAACAACATATTCCTCCTATCGCTGGCCTATGTCACGCCGGCCGTGTGGATGGTGCTCGTGCAAGCAAGGATACCGCTGACATTATTTCTGTACAAAGTGTTATTCCGGAGAATCATAAGCGGCTCTCAGTGGATTGGAGCCTCCCTCATGTGTATCGCCATCGGGGTTTGTCAGCTGCCGGAACTCAGTGCGGGAGTCACGCGCAATCTCGCTGTTGCTTTCGTGCTCGCTTTGTTAAATTCAGTTTTATCGGCTAGCGCTGCCGTCTATACGGAGTTGCTCTTCAAGAATCCTCAGCACTCCAATATTTGGAAGCAACAGTTCCAGATGTACACGGGCGGAGCTGTTTTCGCTCTGGTGCCGTTCATCTACTCGTCTCTCGTCTTCCAAAAAGGTATGTCCCTACACCAAAAATCGTCTGAACTCTCTTTTCGTAAGTTCAGAGACTATCAATGATCTCTAGCGAGATCTTGGTCGGGAAGACCTCCAAGTACTCGCATTTTCGAGTGAATCATGTCTCGCGGGGCAATTATCGTTCGACTATGACTCCTGTCCATCGGGCTCCGATGCGACCGACGCTTCAAATCGTATTATAGCTCTGCGCGATACCTCGACGCGAACACGAGAGCGCGATGAGCGACGCTCTGAGTTCGACTCTCAATGGCAGTCGGGAATTACATCTGGTGAATAGTTAGAACAGATAGGATTGTACTCTGTAGGGTGGCTCCCTGGGTCAATGGAGAAAAACCCCCGATGTCTACTATGAAGAGATCCAATCTCGATGAGCTTGAACCGAAATGCTGGATGGATTCTTCACGAACGAGGGTCTGGCAATGGATATTCAGAGAGAGAAAATGGAGAAGCGTGTCATTTCCCCTCATTCCGAAGAGCGTTTGGCGCCACATATCTCCATATATGGCTGTCCTCCAGTATCGCAAATTCTCGGACTACCATCGCATTGACTGTGTGCACTGGATGCATCAGACCAACGGTTCAATTTGATCAGATCAGGCAAAAAAATGGGGAGTCAGGGAAGCCCAAGCAGAGGCTCTACGAACCCGATAGTTCCATGAAACCAAGCAAGGGAACATTTGTCCGAGGCTGTATGCGACCCTACCCTAGAGATTCTTTGCTACGGAGAACTCGATGACTGACGTGTCAGGGATCACGAAATTATCCTAATTGAGATCTTTGATTTGCAGAACTGATATCGGAGGCTCCGGCGTCGATCTGGTGCCTGGTATTATTGACGTGGTTTACGGCGGCGATGCATGGGATCTGTGTCGCGCTCTTGGTGAAGAAATTGGACAACGTCGTGAAATATCAAGTTGCGTGTGTGGTCCATCTCCTGAATTCCGGCCTGAATCAACTATTGTTCCCCGATCGATTCACACTGACCCCCCATTTCGCCATAAGCCTCATCATATTATTTTACGCCGTGCACGTATACGAGAACAGAACGTTCGCTCTGACCAAGCGGTGAAGCTCGAAGCGCCCCGACCCGTGATGACTCCATGGAGCTCCCGAATCCTCAGCGGAGCGGACCGATCCGCTTGAAAACTTTGTGATGTATGAGTGGCATTATCAGGCACTCTACGATGGCGGAGAATAGAATATATGTAGGTGATCTTCACATTCAAACTCTTCTCCTGCTTTATTCGTGAACCTCCAACTTCGTAGAATGTAACTAGAACAGAACGGCGTGCAGCTTGTCGAACTCCTCGAGCGTAAAACGAGCCTTAGCGAGAGATGATACTTGATCTGCGGTGAATATCGTCCTCAGTGATCCCGACTGAGATTTCCAAGAGAGCGATATGTCCTCAGGAGTCATCTGCATGAGCTGTAGGAGATTGCTAGCTCTGGCAGCACTCACGTGCAGGGTGTTTTCGTTCCCGCGCTGCCACGCATCAGCCATCGAAATCGCTCGCAAGAGAAGCGACTTCAGGTGAACAACCTCGTTCTCAGTGAGGAATTTCTGTTGGAAAATATACGACTCCAAGCTAGTGGATAGCGAATTGAAGAGGAGACCCATCGCTTTCGAATAATTCTCGAAAGGCAGAGAGCGTTTCCAGAATGCCTCCATTTCTTGCAGAGATGACATATAAGCCAGAAATAATTTCAGAGACGACGAGACCGGTGATGACATCGAGATTTCGTTCATTCTGTGTTCGTTGATGAAACGCAGAAACACCGATGTTCCTTTCTCTTTCAACATGATTATGCTGTTTGTTGCGACCGAGCAGTGTAGACTACAGCGATTAGCTAAATAGAAACAATTATTGAGGAAAACAGCGACCTTGAATGGAGAACAGAGAGCTTCAGCCTCGCAAGCCGACAAGTGCCTTAACAGACAGGAGAATACAGGGAGGAGAACGGACTCGTGTTTGAGTCGAAGAATACTGTCGGCTAGTGAGGGCACCCACGACGAGACGACGTAGACTCTCATGAGGTTATTCGGGATATGTGAGATCTCCGCTTCTTCCGTGGGCTCCAGAGCTGTCAGCATCATTTCTTCCATCTCGGAGACAATTTGTAGCGCTGAAATTCATCACGAGCGGATCATTAGCCAAATTGAGCAGGAAGATCCTGCAAACGAAGAAAGCTCCCTGGATCAGCAGGCGGATCACAGAGGCGCTCGAAACTGAAGATTACCTTCTTTGGACCCTTCCGCCTCTGTCGCGTAGCCAGTCAGCAGGTTTGCGGTTTGGGGAAGATTCGAATGAATATTCGTCGCGAGATCATCGATAGCCTCCGGATTCTCTTCGCGAGCCCGCTGTCCGAGAAGGTTCAACATCGCTGCAATTTCACGGCTGTTTTCTTGCAGCGAAAATAAGGGGAGGATTGTCTTGCTTATGAAGGTGTAGACTGTTTGGAGATTTTCCAATGGATTCACTGAAATCCGAAAAAGAAGGAGACTGTTACGAACAGATCGAGAGAATCCTACATTGATGGCGAATCCGTGATTCATTTCCGTTGGAAGGAAAGTCCAGGCTTGTGGCCAGCTGGCCAACACTAATCTGGGATGCTCTCTCCAGGGATGACAAAGTTCCTTCAACAGCCCGGTCATCTCGGAATCGACCTAGCCCAGCAATACCTTTAGCTTCTTCTGCTTTCTCCACCATGATGACTTCCAGCTGAACGAGGGACGTATTTTCGGAGCACGTAATCAGACATTGGTCGTTGACGACGGGACGGACTATGTTTTCCACGAAACACTCTAACAGCTCTGTCGTCAGGGTCGAGGAGTTCCTTAGACCATTCAGCAGGGCAAAAGTCTTCCCGGCCTCTGACGAAATCGTCAACTTGCGCGTTCGAGGGAACTCTGACTTCTGCCATCGGACTTGTTGACGCCAATCTCCTGTCAGCTGAAACGCAGAATCACCGTCGGTACTATCAGTAATGTCTGGGAGGAATCGTACGCAGAGAAAAATCCAACGGTATAGAGTATAGAGCCTCGATTGTTTCGCTTGAATGTCACATCGCGTCTGAATGCTCCTGTCGAAACTCACCTCAGAAAGATAATGCGCTTTGATTTTCGTCAACCTCCGAGTCACCGGTTTCAGTATGGCTGTCTCCTCCCCTCTCTGGCGCATTTCCAGTCGGAGACAGTCCAGCAGGTGGTCGGTGTCGTTGCACGCTCCTACTCCTTCGCCAGCAGAAACCCTTTCCGATTTGCTGCGTACAGCTCCTTCCAGGTTCCGACACAAATTTATGAGCAAAGTGATTTTCTCGCACTGTAATGAGTAATGAGCAATGAATATGGATTTGGCGATGCGTTTGCGGCAAGAGTGCTTCATCACTACCCGATCGAGAACTTCAGCTCGAAACCATAGGGATTGAGAGGAGGCTCTGGCTGCTCACTTACGATCCAGAGGAAGTCCGGGTCCTGCGATGAGGATTCGAGCACATCAATTTTCGAACGGAGTTCATCAAGCTTCAGTTGGAATAAGCCTGGAATATAGATTATTCCCGTTTTATCGATGAAAACTCTTTCTCGAAAAACGAAGAGACACATACGAGCAGCAGAAAAATCATTACCTTTGCTCATGAAGCCGGTCGGTTTCGGGTCGAATCGCCGCGTAATGTACTCTTCCAAGGAAGCCAACAGAACTTCAGCGTCCTGTATACGTGACCCTTCCTTGAAGAAGATCTTTTCACTTATGCCGAATTCATCAGTTTTTTCATCTTCCGTCGACGTCATGACGACTGGCGCTGCTGACATCGTGACTGGAAGTGATCTCTCCTAAGAACCCGAACACCTGCCAGGTATCACCATATCCCGGATCCACTTTCCCGGATCTGACTGAGTTTCCAGGGGATAAATCCAACGAGCGCCTTTTCGAACATCAGAGCACTCAGACTGCGCCCTCCCGCCTGATGATGAAGTGATCTCATCAACTTCAGGATCGAGCGAGCGATGCGGATAGGTTCGGAAGCTGGAGCGTGTAGCTATCTCATGATATAATCATGGCTGAGGAGAGTTCCCCAGAATCGCACGTGAGCGAGTTATAGAAGTGGAGACTCTGCGACCTTCCGACAGAAGCTCTCTCGCTGCAACGACTCGGGGCACGCTCGGGTTCGTCAGCAGTGTCGTGCAGACGAATTCGATCCGATGAGCCGCTGTTTCGCTAAATTGTGGATAAGTGCACTCGTCGTGCTCTCTACCACCCTCTGGTGGAATCTCGACCACCTACTGGATTTAGACGCGATGACATTGCGCGCATGCTCCTTTGAAGTCTTCGGACTTGTCCAGGGTGTGTTTTTCAGAAAATACACTCAACAAGAGGCCGTCAAACTCGGCGTTGTCGGATGGATTCGCAATACTGCGCGAGGCACCGTCGAAGGTACCGAATAGACCTTTAGCGGCCTGGAAGATGCGCAATCCGACCGAACCTATTCGGTAGGATAATCGGTTCTGTGATTGTGGTGCATAACTAGGCTTCTGATTTTCAGGAGAAATCCAGGGTCCAGAGGACAATTACGGTGATATGAAGCGTTGGTTGGAAACGAAAGGAAGTCCGCAGTCTGAAATAGCTAAAGCGATATTCTCGGATGAGCGAACCATAGATAAACGGGATTTCGAGTCTTTCGACATCCGCAGGACGAGATGATTGTAGATTTGGCTGACGCGAAGTTCGCCCCTGTTCATACTCTGTAAAAAAAATCAAGAAATACACGCAACAAAAACTTATCAGATTTTTTCTCTACGGAATCGCTCCATTTACGCGATGTACTCCGAACAGGCAAGACTTCAGGACTGAATCAAGTGTTCGAATCGAATTTGTTGAATTTCAACGTGATTGTGAAGAGAGCAAGGACCTCCGCTGGAATTCGCGAGCGTGTTCCTCTGAGAGGACGATAGTAGAATTTGCATGAATCTCATTGAGGGATTCGCGCTTCAAACAAACTACATAGTAGACAAATCCTTCAATCTCGGACCGGGTCTGTTGGCCGCGATAGGCTGCGATGGTGGAAGGATACGAAGATTCTTGTTCCGCCCGACTGGATCACGCGGATCATTGCAAACGGACGTCCCATGCATCTCCGAGTCCTCGTTGGACTTGAATTTTCAAGACGCATCTGCATAAGGTTTTCCTGCTGCGTACGGGAAAATCGGATCCTATTACACAAGTACCTCGACTTACAATCTTTAACCGTTCCCCGAGATCGATCGTTAGTCAAAAAGATCGAGGAGAAAGGAAACTTCCCGCCTTATCGGATCACCCTTCCTCTGGAACTCATCGACATGACTCTCTGATTTCATTCCCCTTGTTCTCCACGCCCCCACGACGTTACCATTCCGTGTACTTTTCGTGGATTTCCGGGCTGCGTTGAGCTCGGGCTCGAGATCACTGATTCTGGAGGAACGGGCAATTTGTCGTCGCCTCCGCGACCATCGCCAACCCTTACAAACTAACGCTCTCAGATCATTCGCGACGGAATTGGCGCTTTTCGCAGGCTATGGTGTACAGCTCATGTAGAGGAGGATCTCGCAAACTTGGAGCGACTGGAACTAAAATTCCTCATAAAAGTCTCGAGGATCTTCAAAATTCCTTCAGCCTCGAACGGGCATCTGCCTTCGAGGAGTTCAGAAAGTAACAAGGACGGAAGCTCGACCCTTGTTCCCCCAGCACGGACAGACAGATGGGACCGGGAAGCAACCCGATCGACGCAACTGTCACGTGACATTCGATTATCCGTCCACGGATATCCTCATGGTGAGTTTTCATTCCAATTCTGTGATAGCCCATGGCCCCCGTATCACGCTTCCAAACGAAAAAATATCTACACTAGTCATGCGGGTGAACCGAAGAGTGTGTGAGGAATGATTCGAGCACCGTCGGGCAGCATTCGAACCCCTACGAAGTCTCCCGATCCGCATTCTCCCGGCAAACGGAGACGGCGTGAAATCCATTCTCCGCGGTCGCGATGCCCCGCAACATGGCCCAGTAAGGATCAATGATCGCTCGCGATATTGAGTGTCTCCGTACAGGGACGGAGTACTCTGCTTGAATGCAGATTTCCTCCGATCGACATTTATTCGACGTAATCTGATTGAACGGGGATACCTAACGAAATCACGTACCTATTGACAAAATTATGACCGTCAATTATCGCTTTCGACAGAGATCACCGCAAGACAGCCGGAATCGAAGTGTAATACGTGATCGCTGGGCGAATTGGTACCGCTCAATTCTCTTGCTTCCTGCTGGCGACTGACAGCTCGTACAGTCTCCGAGCTGCCCAGAACATCACTCGACAGCTTCTCTGGTGGCAGCTCCTGGACGTCCGGCGTTACGTCCTCCAAGGTTAGGATGAACCTTGCCCATTGTTCGGATCTTGTGGACAAGTCGCTCACACAGAAGCATCCTTTCCTGTGGCGTCTCTTGAAGACCTGCGCCTTCTTGTTTTTCTTGTTCTTCTCGATGAAGTCGCGAACAATTTTCGAGGCATCGATATCCGGCTTCGACGCCTCCTTGCGAATACTTGATCGAGTCTGCATCTTCTGCGCTGTCTGAATCTCGTCCTGCAATGGTTCGATTGCGGGTAGATTTTATACAGAAGCTCGCTCCGGGAATCCGGAGGGGGGCTGAGGGCCGAGTTCTCATCAGGCAGGGGTCGTCTCGAAGAGCTCTCCTGGGTCGGGGATTGATCTCGGGACCCCGACAGGACATTCCTCATCGAAGGGGGTGAGGCTGATTAGAAAGTATTGCATGGCCGCCATCCCTGTTTTCGTCTGAACCCTGACCATGCTAGAAGCCATACGGGACTTCTGCCATATTTGATCGGTCTTCACTCACCTCGGGTATGGGGTGAGATGTCAATAGCATCCCTAACCGTGCCTCGACACAGAAAAATCCCCGCGTGCTCTTCAGTCCTCCTCTAGCCCCGTCGCGGGAGGAGCCATAGTCCTCGGCGCGGGTAATGGATACAGGGCTCCGGTCGGCCATGGACTCTCAGGACTGCCCCGACATCGCGTGAAGCGTTTCCGGAGTCGCCAGCCGCCGGATTCGAAACGGCTACCTCCGGCTTTGTCGGACGTCGATGCGGTCCATACGAATGTGCACGTGATCGGCGAGGCGCTCAATCGCCGAGCTATCCGACATCGATGGAACACGTTGAGGGGACGCTCCTCATGAATTCCATGAATTCGCGCTCGCTCTGATGAAGATCGCGCGAGTCTTTCGTTGTTGCGTGGCTGAACGTGATACGCCCTGGATTATTCCGTCCTCTCAGAGCCTAGTTAGAACCTATATAAAGAATACGAATATAAAGTTGCGAACGAGTTCGTACAAGGCGAACTCGGATGGTCAACCTTCGAATCGAGAGAAGCGCAGAGCAAAATCCGATATTTCGCGAGAATAAGCGCGATGGCCCCGAACGATGGCCACGCATGATACTGTCCATAATGGCTACAACGAAGATAACGACAGCAGCGCTCAGAAGAATGCGCCACCTCAGCGATAAATACTCATGCGGAAACATACTGATAGTATACGCAGAGGACCTCAGACCGAGAATGAATCTTTTCAATGATACGGTGAAGAAACATATTAGAGAAAAGATGGAAGAGCTGTGGAGAGAGGGAATAAACTCTAAGGCCAGCCTGGAATTGTACAGCAAATGGAAGGATACAGCCACCCCAACATATGGACTATATAGAAATAGTCGAGGGAGCGCTCTGTTAGCCCCAGCAAGAGCAGGGATGCTACCGACAAGGTCGCATAGAGCGAAGTACCAACGGATCGAGCCGCACTGTTTGAAGTGTGGCTTATTAGACGAAGAAACCATTCCTCACATTATGACGGAATGCACTCCTAACCACTTCGATATTGACGAAGTGGCTAGAAGATTGGGCCTCACTGAACAAAGTGACGAAAATCTCATGAGGAAAACAAGAAGACTGCTGGAAGAATGGGAAAGAGAAACCCGAAGGATCTGCTGAGAAATCGCCTCTGAAACAGGGTCTCATGCGTATATTTATATATAGGCTCGAGAGGATCAATAAATACCATACCATACCTTTGGTCGCCTTCCTGGCTGTTTGCCGACAATACTATTCGACGCATGAAACGAATCGCCTCCGTCGCGAAGGCATCTCACGCCTCATCCTGGTGGATTTTCACCGCCTCTTTCTACACCATATCGCGCCGGAATCGTTCAAAGCAGAGGTTCCCAAACTTTTTCTTCCGCGGAAACCCTGGTGTTCCGTGGAACCCGTCCTCATTTTTCAAGAAATTCAAAGTCCTGTCAATCGCTCTTTCCTTTCAGCTATTAGAGGAGAAAACACGCGTTTGTTCCGGACCAGACCCGAATGTTTATTGCTTAAGTCAATTCTTGCGTAAATTAGGAATGCTCATCTAGTGGGAACGTGCCTTGTGCAACGACCTTCGCAGTGCGCATTCGATGCCGATCGATGCGCCAATTAGAACGATCCTCTTCGGAATTGGGGAAGACATTTGGAATCAGGAAAAGAAGTTCCCCACAGGGCTACGACACCTAGGGCCCGTATATGACCGTACATAAGGAAGCAGAACCTCGTCGCGGAACCCCGATTTGCGCAAAGAGCAGCCCACGGAACACTGGGGTTCCGCAAAGATTTTTTCACGGAACCCCCGGAAAAGAGCGACGGAACCCAGTTTGAGAACCTCTGGTTTAGGGATTCCCCGCGACTGATGAGCTCCGTGGAGCCGAGAATCCGAAAGATACTGACGGAAATCAGCGCTGTGGGAGCTCACTGCAACAGTGTCTTCGGACCTCGCGATTCCAGGCCTTCGGCATCTAGTCCGAATCGAGGCAGCCTCGGCAGCCTCCAGGTCACCTCGGAATTATGTGCCGCAAAGGATAGAGATTAAAGGCAATTTGGACGTCGAGAGCGGAGGGCCCAACATTCCTCAATCGAGAAGCATGAGCCTCATTTCGGACTCATAATGTTCCTCGTCTTCAGCTCGAAGCACCATTCCATAATCCTGCTTCCACATCTATTCGAGCTCCTGTCGCCGGCCCCCTTCGGGATTTATTTCCACTCTCTCGTGGACTTCCGGAATACCTCATCTGCATCTGTCATCTGAGTGTGGTACGCGTCCCGATATTCAGATCGAAACTCCGATATATCTCACCTCCATCACCGACGAGGAACGAACCGAAAGCCATCGCCAGCGATGGAAATTTCGCGGCTATCGCCATCTGCCATTCTACACATCTCTTGACTCACGACTCATGATGAATTGGCTGATACAATTGAGCGGGCTCAAGGATGGAATACCTCATTTGAATTCCAAGGCCGAATAGAGTCAGATGGATGAAAGTTTATTGCTGTCTGTCATGTGCGATTAAAAAAATATGGAGGAGATCACGGTCATTTGATGTACGTTCACGTGATGATCGCAGGGATCAGCCGAGCTCAATCCCTGACTTGCCGG